TTTTTTTTCTATTAAATTAATTATTAATTTGATATAACTTTGTGTTGTTAGATAGTGTTACTTAATAAATTAGATATAAATCCATCTTATATTAGATATAAATTTATTTTAAAATTAGATATGGATTGCTATATTTTTAGGTATGAGTTTATATTTATCCCTTAATCATTGGCTTATGATACGAATACTAGGATTCTGACATTAATTAAGGACTATAAACTTCTTTTCGAGTTCTTCGTCAGTATTTCATCAATAACACTATGACCGTTTGATGACTTTGTTAATCAACATAAATGATCGTAATCAATCATTTGTGTTTATCTTGCATAAACTAATTGTTTATAATTTGAACGTAAGATTGTTTCCATAGCTTGTAACTTCTCAATGTTGAGTATCGATTATAATAAATGTAGCGACTTCTTTGCAAAACAAAAACCTGATGTCTATAATCGACTTTCGAAGTAAGCAATCTCAGGATTCCTTTTATGGGTGTAAGAAAAGACGAAAAAAAAGCTATTTGTCGATGCGTACCAATGAATGTAGATGATTACCATCGATTTCTAATTGTTGCTAATGATTGATTGAATTGTAATCAGAATTTTCTCCTTGGTATTATGTTGGGGTTCGTTTTACCTATCTTTGTATGCCATTCACAGCAACAACAAATATTTTTAGCGAACACTTCACTACTGCTATTTTATTTTATTCAATTTGTCAGAAATGTACATATGATTAATTAATAGATGTAAATTGTGTTTCACTTCCTTTTTTCGATTGTCCAGATCAGGATCAATCTTCTACATTTCTATAATACACTGAAATACAACAATAGAGAACACTTGAATATACACATATTAAAATAATGATAAAAACAATCTAAACGATCTTCATTATTACTACATCACAAATATTAAATTAAGAACATTTTAATAAAATTATCTGATTTACGACTAATTATTTTTTTAAATATTCGAGAAACTGCTTGAATAAATTAAAATCTTAATCAGAATGTTTTATATAATGAAACAGTCATGTTCATCCAAAGATGATAATCTTTCAAAATGAATAACTTAATGTTAAGTACAACAAAATTTCACAAAAACTTTAAATCAATTTTTCCATATTTATTTACAAATAACTATAACTCGACTAGATAATACAAACAAAAATTCAACTAGTATTATTTGATGTTGTTGCTGCAGCTGCAGCCTTTTCCATTCGTTTAATTAATTGATTTTGTCGATAAAGATGTCGAAGTTGTACATTTCGATCATTGGCACAACCTTAAGAACAAAGAAACTCATTAAAACTAGAAAAAGTGAAATTAATTTTCTAAATGTTACCAAGAAAACTATTTAAACGTAAAGTGTTAAGATTAAATGTTTCAACACCAGCTTCATCACAATAAACAGGTCCATCGTTATAAATTAAATCAAAACCTCCAACACGTTTTTCTTTGCCTGTCAAACGTCCTTCCATATCAATAACGTTAATCATATCATCTAAAAGGCGATTCTTAAGTTCATTATCCTCTTGATTACTTGCTGTTAGTGATGGTGACGCATTTGTTTCAATTAGCCATGGCTTCAAATTAGCATCCAGCAGTATATCATAACCATATAATTCAAAACAATGTTTATCATTGATCATAATTTTCTGAACACTTTGAAGACTTTTTATAAATATATCATCCATTTGTTTAATCATGATATCGACCTTGAATTATTATCAGTTGTTGATTATTTTATCATAAAATTCGAAACATACTATTTCATGACCATGTTTTGCTATAAGATATTGTCGAAGGCGACTCATCGACCATTTATAACCTGCAATGAAAAAGAAATAAGAGTTTAAAGTCCGAGAATATATTTCGTTCACCTTTATCAGGATCATAGTTTGGTGCCGTTTTTTGAATGGCATTATTAGTAATATGAACATCTTTAAAGAAAAATTATACTATGATTATTTATTTAAGAAATATTGCTTACAAGTATCTTCAATACTTTCCACTGTATATCGAGTACCAGATAAACGTGCGAAACCTTCACGATAAAGCCATACTCGTAATGGATTATACTATGAAAATGGTAAAAATGATTAAGAAATCTTCATAATATTTCTTCTACTCATACTTTATGGCATATCAAAGGAAGTTCGAGAGAAATACAGAGAGAGAGAGCAAATCATTTATCTAGTCTGTTTACTGATAATAAATCGTTGAAATATATAGTATGGTGAGATATTTTAAGTTTTATTATTGCGATATTTTAAAGTTTCTTTTCCTTATACACACTCATGATTAGAATCAATTCAAAATAGTTAAAACAATAAATCTGATAAGAACAGAATTTTTCTTTTGAAATGCATGTTTGTGCACGTTATTATGATAGTCAGTATATTCTCATTACTTTTCAAAATCATACGAATCATGAAAACAGAATCGCTACATGAAAATTTCTCCTAAATAACTATTCAACTTAAATGCAGTACTACATGTTTCTTTTTGAGTGTCCATATTTCATCGGTTGTTACTTATTGTCAGTTGTAAACGATTCGCTGTATGTATGGTGAAAATGAAAGTTAACTTACAGATGTAACTAGCATATATATTCGAATGTCAAATTTTTTACCACCAATTAGATATGGATGATCAACATAACGTTGTACCTAAGAAATTTCTTTGTTTATCTTCGATTATCAAGCGAAGATAACTTACAACATATGTTTCGACAGCTTCACGGTTTTGTTCTTTATCATAAGCAGTCATGTATTCGCCCTAAATAAATTCGATCAATAATAAAAAGCAAACTAGAATACTATGTATTACTCGTCGCCAAGCTGTAATATCTTGAAGCTTTCGAAAAAGAAAAATTCCTTTTCCTTGAGCACGTGCAGCTGGTTTCATAATCCACGTTGTATCCGGATTTCGTTTAAATTCTTCGACAAATAAATGATATTCAGACTAAATTAAATTTTTTTATTTTGCATATGTTTGAATTAAGTTCAATAACATACAGGAAGAACATATGTTGTTGGAAAAAAATCACATTTAAGTGCTTCTAAACGACCTTGTTCTCGTTCAACTTGTTTTCGAAAACGTTTCAAATTTTTAACCATTAAATCTTTACGTGTTAGCTAAAATATAATCCAATACAAATCGGTATGGTTTTAATCTGAGAAAAATACATTATTATACTTCATAGTGATTTCTAAAATGATTAATACGCATATGTTCTTCAAAATAACCACGATCAAATAGATCTTTCATTGAACCAACATCACACCACTAGCAGAACAGTTATAACATTTAACTTTATTTCGTAGAATTACTTACATAAAAATCCCATTCTTCATCACTAAAAAGTTCTTAAATTCGAATTTCGTTTTCAAATATGTAAAATACTCACTCTCGTGATTCTACCCAGCCACGATTTTTAAGAACTTCATATATTGTATTTTGTAGGAAACTTCGGAAACGAATTGGGCGATCTCTATACATATAGATAAGGTAAACAGATTGAAATTTCATCACTAGTTTTAATAACAAGAAATAAATACCTATATATATATAGGGATTATCAATTAAATATATTCAGGATAGCGAAAATTTCAATCGAATTCAAATGTTCAGAAGCCTATCAGAGTCTTATTGTTCTTTGAAAAGCTTCCTTCATGATATTTTGTTTTTGAGTGAAATTAAGTTTGATCAACATTTCTCAAAGAACCAATTCTTTCAGATTTATGACATATCATTAGGTTATAAATCATGCATATGAGAAATAAATCAATCGAAATTTAATATAGTAGAAATCTTGCAGATATTACCAAATAGACTCTAGTTAGGAAGAAATTCAAAAGCTGGATATCCATGAGAAGAGAAGAACCAATTAAGAATAGAAGATTTCAAGATAGATCATACAAACGGAGTAGAAAATATACATATCTTCTCTACAGACTCTTTCTAAATGACCAATTAGACCAATGAAGATCGTTTAAACTAAAAATTGATTTTCTTCCATATAAAAAAAACAATTTTAAAAGTGAAATAGTAAGGGAAAGTATGATAACAATGGGATTCTGACTTTTGCTTTCTTTAATCTTAAATACTCATCCAAAATCTAGTTCATGATTGAGAATAATGAATAGATTTGTCGATTCATTAGATTGTTTTCCCATTTGTCATCAGAGTTCTTGTCAAAAATAATATTTCAGAATGTGAAAAGTTCTGAATAGAATGATGAGCCGCTGCATGTTCTAAGACGTTCATTAACAAAGTTAAAAGCAACACAATTTATCCAAGACTAGCTAGAAAGTGAATAGATACCTATTTGTTTTTGCATTTTATGATACTCTAAACTTCTATCAGGAACATCTTAGATAATGTGACGACTCGTCATCCTATTCAGAACTGTGCACATGTTGAAATGCCATTCTTTTACAATAATCCTGATGAAATCTTGGTAAACAATGTAATAGATCGACAAATCTATCGGCTATTCGAAGTCACTAAATGAATTTCGGGTGGATACTTGCATGATAGAAAAAAAGTCGAAATCATTTTGTCATTAAACTAAATTGTTCTCTATGATTTTAGATCATGTTAAAATTTTCTCACGTCAAAATACATTCTTGTTCTTATTTTCTTTTAAATAAAATAACATACGTTATTCCACGACGACGTTCTGTCCGACCTTGAAATGTTTTTGTTCCCGCAGCTTTCACAGCCATATGATCTTTCTTCAAAAGAACAGAATTTTATCTGATTTTTATCTAAAAAACAGAGTAACATAGCTAATTATTATCTGATTCAAGAGATTAGTTATACTAAAACTAAGAAATACAAAACTTAGAATGATTTACTACTGTAAATATGTTCACACCATAAAATCAGAAGTATTTGTAGTGAGAAAAATTATGATTATTTTGTAGATTAAGTTGAAAGTTGTACTTTTGCTGTGTGCAATTCTCGTTTGACTGAATCGATCATAATTTGAAATCTAAAGTAGAAATTAAAAAATTGCTTAAGTATACAAATTCTATGCAAGTAAAAATAAGAAAACAATCGTAGTTTTATATCTATAATAAAATACGAGTGTGTTTAGTGTTTTTGATTTTGTACTAAAAATGTGTTAGTAATGGTAAATTTGTAAGGATTTTATTACTCTGACCAGGATTTGATTTGATGTATGCTATACAAGAGTTATGATTCGTTTAGCTTCTAAATAGTTTTGCCAGTTAAAATAGTGAATATCAAGAACAATTAGTAGAAAATTTAGCGTACGCTATATTAAAATACATCGTTTAACGAAGAGCAACTTATAGCTTTTCGGCAAAGTCAACAAATTCTTTGTTCGATAGCTGTGAAAGAAATATTTAACGCCGATCAACAAGGCATCAAATTTGATAATGAATATTAGATTAGTTTTGTGTCATTATAAACTCTCATAATGCATGTGTGATGTTTTGTTTGCATGAACTTTTCTTTCTGACTTTTACTACTGAGTCAGACTTGATTTGTTTTCTATGAACTTATTTCATACCAGTCGTACTAAATAATCAGCGAAGACGATGTAGAATTTTTCTTTTCGCTTAGCCGGACAGAAATCAACTACTACCAGTAAGTTCTATCATTAATGAAACATTGTCGAATATTGACTAGGAATGGTTGTTTACTTAGATAGCAAAGTATTGTCAATTAGACTATGTTTGATAAATAAATGAATGACATTCTAATTTGAAAACAATTGAATTCTTAAATTTGATGACATTGGATAAATTTTTGAATCGAATCCAAAACGAAATCATAGGATTAGTTAAGAGGACACACATATAATGCTATAAGAATGTAGAATACTGAATATCTTACTGTCGATATCGATCGTCGATAGGATAACGTTCATCCTATACAGAATAAAAGTCAGATATTTTCCTGCAAAAAAAATCAATAGAAAACACACCTCAGGTAAACTAGATTGTTGATATTCAATTGTGTTATTTAAAGTTTCACGTTCAAAAATTTGATGACTACTTCTTAATTCATTAATAAGAACTTCTCGTTTGGCTAATTCAGATGCAAAATATTTTCTGTCAGCATCACAATCGAGTAATGCATTAGCGAGATCTTGACGAATTTTGTTTTCTTGTTCTTGGCGAATTTCTATTTCTTGTTTAAGCCAAGTCAAATGAGCCTTAGCATATTTTGAAAATAAGTAGAAAATTCAAATTTTTATGTTGTTTCTTTTTACTTTAAATTTGCTCAACCAAACTTCAATTTCATCGCGAGGTGTCGTTCCAGATTCGACTATAGTAAATGGCTCATTAGAATCATTTGATAAACATTCTGAGCAATACACAATTTCATTGTAAATCAAATGAAGAGAATTCTAAGTAATTATATTCATTTTTATATTGATTATTAAACAACAGGTCGATATTTACTTGATAGTCGCTCTCTCTCTTTAAAATTTGATTTCTTTGATCCGTTGTTTCAACCGTTAATCTGTTAATTCTATGAATAAATTAATAAAATATTTTTATTTTGTTCAACAAATAATTCTCTGATTCATACTTTGATTCTAATTCATCGATCAATCGAGACTAAAGATAATAAATATGAAAAATATAATTTAATCTACATCAAGTTTATTGTAAGAAATAAAATATTGAAAAAAGAATAGAAAGTTCAGAATCTCTGTTATCAATATGATTTATTATTTTCATTGTTTCTATAAAACTAAACTAAACTTTTCATCAACTGATGTATATTGCTTACCAGAAATATACAAGATTACTAAGACATAGCTTATATTCCTCGTTTGAAGGCATATTTAGCTTGAACTGGCGTCTTGGAAACGCGAAAACAAAATTTTAAGACGTTTTTCTGTGTATGTATTTTCATCCTAACTATGAAGATTTTATTGAATTTCTGATCCAGCTTTAGGCATGTGAAAAAGTTAAAAAGGCACCCGTTTGCCATTGATCATTACTGATAAATGATAAATCTAATAACCTATAGAATATATTGGAATTTTCAATAGAAAATTGTTGCTGTCGTAAGATTCTGATTTCTGCATTACAGTTGTAGTAAACGATAAATTTTTGTAAATTCGATATCTTAATGGAAAACCTATTATTGTTGAGCGTAAAAATTCAAGATATTCTGCAGATCATCAGATCTACGTATTAAAAAAGCTTCATGTCAAAATTCTATCGTTTGATTTTTGGAACTTATACTTGAAGTTAGGTTAAATATACATGAAAAATAATCATAGTTCAATCGGAGGTGCTCAAGATAAACACAAGCTATTCACACTTTAACTAGTATCATTAAAGTGTTCTGGTAAATCTCATATTTATGAAGACGATAGGTACGAGTTCATGTAGTTTTATTATATACAGAAAGTTGTCTTTATAAAAATACCATAGAACTATGGCATACCATGAAGTAATTGTTATTACTCACTGAAAGCTAATTTCAGATTTTTAAATTTGAATAAACAATTAAAATTTCGTTTAACTATAAAAAAAAGGCCTCATTACTTTATCATTGATTTCTCTTGATAAAATTTCGATGATACAATGTGCTCGAGTTGATTCATCTTCATACTTTGCTGCTTTTTCTTGAAGTCTTTCAATTTCGTTTTTATATTCTATTTCATGTCGTTGTAGAATTGCAACTCGAGATGTTTCATCTGATAATTGTAACTAGAAAAATGAAATAAAAAAAGTAAAAGAAACATCTAATTGCAGCAAATAAAGTTCACTTCAAATATTTCAATTTTATTCTCATAATCCATTTGTAATGCTTTCATACCATGTGTATAATCAACTTTAGTTATTTCTAATTTTCTCTACAAATGAATGTTTATCTTTTACATATATTTTATTCAATTAATCTGTCGAACTTTGATTTCTTCATAATCGTTTTCTAATGAAAGATGTTGTGTCTTTTCTTTTGTTAATGAATCTCTTTCAAATTCAAGTTCTTTTATTTTTTGTAATAAGCTCTTAAAATAAATAGCACGTTTTGATTATTGCAACGAATAGAACAACAAGTATTTTTACTGTTCGTTCATTTTCAAGGGCGATCATTTGTTGTTGTAATTGAGATTGAGATGCATTTAGCTTTTCATTATCTTGCTAAAATGAAATCATTAATATGTATATTTATTTTTAATATAAAACAAATGACCAACTTCAGATTGTTTTAATTTTGAATCGAGATTATTTCGATGATTGATTTCTTCTTGTAATAGATGCTGAAGGTTTTGTTTTTCTTTATCTGTTTTTAATAGACATTGCCGTTGAATAGAAAGTTGTTTTTCAAGCTTTAAATACAAAGAAATTAGAGAAACTCACGAAGGCTCTATATTCGAAATGTTTCAGTTTCAAGTACAAATTCGAGTTTATTTAGCGATACCTAAACTAGTTAGCATGTTTGCAATTTCATGAAATCCGAACACTAATTTTTACTGTTGTTATATTAGATGCCATAAAATGGTGCTGAAATTCTGGCAGAATATTTACTGTAAGCAGTAGATCTCGTAGATGGTGGGTCAGTGATCCAAGATGACAGTTAAAGAATATTCAAGGAAAAAAAACTATTTTATTTGTGATTGTATAACAAATAATATGTATCTGTTTTTTTTTATTCTATAAGAAGCTTTGTGACATTTTTATTCACTCGAACATGACGTGAATCTTCTTTCTATTGTAGGTGTATAGTCAAAAACTAAATGAGATATCTTTATAGAGAACTAGAATAAGATTTTATTTGGAAAGTAGCATGACATTAGCTAGTGATGTCAATCCCTATTGCATTATCATGAAAAATAGATACGTATATTTTGAAAGTATTCTCTACGACGATAAACATTCGAGATGATAAATACTTTTGAAAAAATAATGTTTTTGCTATTTGGTAGAACCTACTACGAATAAACAAAATTTTTGATGCTTCATCGATTTATTGTTTTTTTTTCTAAACTATGATAATGCTTGCGAGTTTCAAACCCATTGCAACGTATATCAGAAAAAAAGGAATGTTTCAATTTTTAAAGCAAATATTCGAGTCATAAACGGATAGACTTTGTCAATCATAGGAAAAGTATTTTCTTTCAAAACCCCACTTTCAGATATTGCGTATATTTGATACACGATTGAAAACAATCGCGTTTCTTTTCTATATTTGTTATCCTTTGGTTTCAGATAAAAATTCAGATGTGCAATGAAGATTATAACATGTTTATAGTGAAAATTTGGATGCTAACATTATAACAGTATATTTTTCATGACCTAACATGCTCTTGATCATAAACATACTAAACTTGATAGATGCATCTCATCGTGAAAACTTTATAACATCGCAACAGAAAATGCCAGAATATTCAGGAGAAAATCAATTTTATTCCATGTCAGGAAATCAATTGATTCTATTTCGATTTTCGTCGTTTCTCATACGAATCATTCTTACTTCATAGGCTGTTTCTTTGAATGTTGCAATGTCGGATTCTTGTGATGAGCGAATCACACGATGCTGAATAATCAATTAAATATACTTAGAATTATTTTTATTAAAAAGAAAAAATTCCTTACATCATTTTCATTTCGTGTAAAATGTTCTTCTAACTGATTATAATTTGTCTAAAATAAACAATTAGAAACTGTTTTAAAACGAATTGATAATATACAAACATGTGCAAGATTTAAATCAGTTTCAAGTTTCGTTATTTGTTCTCTTAGGTTCAATTCTTGCGATTTAAAAGTATTGATTTCTTTGATTAATTCTTCATTTTTTTCTAACATTTGCGTTGAATCAAGTTTATAACGCTCAATATCTTTTTCAAATTTCTTTACTCGAGCTTGCCATCTAAATAAAATTTAATTTTGTGAAAAGAATTCAAAATTCAATACATTACTGTTTGTTTGTTTCTTGTGCTTGAATGTGAAATTCTTCTCGTTTTTGTTCGGTATCTGCTAATTGTTTTTGAGAGTTTAATGATTCTTTTGCAAATCGTTCGGCTTCTTCCGTCATCTCTTCTAATTTTTCTAATGCTAATGTTAAGTCGTATTGTAATTTTGTATTTTGTCGTTCGAATGTATCACAGTTTTCTGCTACTTCTTTTAATTCAAACAATGTTCTTGATAGAAGTTTGTCTTTTTCATCACATGTTTTAACTAATGACTAGATTTAGTTAGAAAGTCAATAATACATAGTCTGGCAGCAAAACAAAAATTTAAACCTGTATCTGATCAAAATGTTCTTCACGATTTCGTTCATTTTTTTCAAGTTCTTTTTTAAAATTGAGCATTTCATTGAATGTTGTTGATTTTGAAAGCATTGTTTGTTGTTTGATCAGATATTCATTTTCCAAATGAAGTTGATCGTGTTCTGCTAATAAAGAAAATATTTTGCTTTACATAATTTCAATTAGTCGACTTATTTATCCGGATAATCGGAGACTGACGCTACCTTCAAGAAAAAAGCTATTTCAAAATTTTATTCAAACATTGTGCAAAATCTATTCAAGATATATTTATATAAATTACGTGTCTTCGAGTTGCTATCAAAAATGTGTAATAAGAGTTTCTGATCTGTCTCGAATATTTTGAAGCCGTAAGTACAAACTAACATGAAAATTAATCGAAAGTGATATGTAATAATTTTCAAGTCAATTATTGAGGCAAATCTAAGTACAACGGTGCATTTCTATTTTTTTTTTTTGACAATATTGAATACTTTCCTTTTAAAGCCAAAGCATTAACTGTACATAAATAACTTAAAAACAACTATAGCTTAATATACTACATTCGTATTTCAATGGAATTTAGGTTACTCTATTTTTTTTCTCTAAAACCTATCTGCTTGAAAATCATATGAAATTCTTGAAATGAGAGTCTTATCATATTATAAGCCTCACAGAAAATTAACAAAACATAAAATGCCTATGTTCGATGTCAAGAATGAAGCAAATTAGTGATCGATTGGTCACATTATAGTTGGATTTATTATGTATCATAAATATAAGCGTTTTTAATCGATTGATTTTTCTTTTCGCGTAACACATTTACAATATCTTATAGTTAATAGAGATTTTTCTATTAGTTTCATTCCTTCACATACAAACCATTTTTCTTTAATATTTATCACTGCATATAGACTTTGAAGTATTTACTAAACGTTGGATACTCTGATGCACTTAAAATTAAAATTTTTCGAGCCACAACACGTGGAACTTTGAAAACTGAGCAACATAAATCAAAAATCTTACAATTTCCATAAATAATTTATTGAAAAGATACTCAAGATTTTCTCTGTAGGGCAATCGGTCGATATAAAGATTAAAAATAGCATGACTTGTTTTGCCTATTGCTTCATCTTTTCTAAACAAAAACTATTATATTGGTTTTCACGAGCAAGTTATACCACGCTGTATCATTTCAATAAATTCATTAGTAAAACTGTTTTGACCAATTCATCATTATCATCAAGAGAGAAGCATGATATTTCGAATGAATTTTTGCTCGCAAGTCTTCGATTTTATAATCGTTTATAATATTTCATATTTTAAATATCGTATAACTGCTCCTTTTCTATCCGACGCTTATCTGAATGAAAAGTTTAAATGCAATTTTTTTACTCGAGTTCCAAAAAACTACAAAAAAACTTTCAATAGTTAACATAGAATTAAATATTAAATTGTTATTCACTTATTTAATCAGACAACCTATCAGAAAATTTCATTGAATCAATTACTTTTACATGAAGATTTTATGATATTTTCCACTTTATAAAAATCTATTCAATTCTTTGCTTTTCTAGCAATGAAAAAGAAATTGAAATTACGTCACATTTGTTGTTCCATATTATCCTTTTATTCTTGTTTTGTTAAGAGGATTGATATATATTAGACATGATTTTGTTGTGGTATTACGAATGTAAAATTTAAAAAAAACATGTCAGTATTAGTAAAGTATATAAATTATCTTAATTCAAAATAAAATGAATTAGTAATCTAAAAAAATAATTTTTAATTATATTCTTATCTAATAAATAAATAAATTCGCCAGTATTCGTTAAACAACAAAACAATAAGTGTTATGTATTTATAGTTGATAAACGGAATGTGCATTTAGTTAAAATTTAATATTCAGCAGTAAAATCTGTATCAAATATTTTGCTATTCTAATAATGAATATTATATTCTTCGAGAAAAAAAAATGTAGTTAATTATTCTCCAATACATTCCAATGTAAAGTAGAGAAATTCTCACGATTATTCAAAGTTGATAGACGTTCAAGAAATGAATCTTCTCATATTAAGAATAATCTAACCTGTTCTTCGTCGTCGATTTAACAATGACGATAACTCATCCGCTTTTTGTATTTCTTTCTCATGAACCATTTCATTTCTGATTAATTGATTTGTATATTGTGATACCTAAACAGTGTATAAAAATGATATAAATCAAAATCACACGATAATATCCCTAAATCTACAGAAATGAAAGCAAACACGTACGCTTTCTCGAATAGATTTAGTACAATTGAGTAAAGTTGTTGGACTCTGGAATATATTTTCACTTGCGTTTTGTAATAACAAGAATAAATGCGACATACCTGCTGCGTTAATAAATTTTTATTTATTTCATCTTCGTCTAATTGTCCCTTTGTATTCTGTAGCGAAAGTTGATACTAAATTTTATGAAGAATTTATTAACCAGAATCTGTGCAATAAGTGAAGATTTACTGCTTTTTTATTAGATGTAGCACGTGCTTGAGAAAATTGATCTTCGTCTTCTTGTTGTATTATTGTTAGTTTTCGTTGTTGTTCTTCTCTATGTCTTAGTATTTCCCGCTCTATTTCTTGTAAACGTTGTCCGTGACGTGAATGGCCGATCTATGAAAAGAGAATTAGTTAAAGTAACGACTTTACAAAGAAGATAGATTTCTGGTAACCAAATCATTTTTGAGTAGCTATTTTGGTGAGGCCTACGTTGGAATGAGTCTGAAGAAACTGCAAGTAGTTTACGTAGATCAATTTTTGTTCAAGAAATCTTGAATTTTAAAATTATTAAATAGTAAATTTCATTCAAAATCGAAATTTTCTTATTTTTTCAGCCAAAAAATTTCAAGTGGTGCTAAAATTTGTTCGACTCAGGCACTGACAAACTCTCACAAAATTTCCAAGAGATTTTTTTGAAATACACTTGCATTATGTGCAGTCCTTTTATTTCCTCACCAATCTAATATACATATGCACATTTTAGTCTATCAAAATAATGACTTGAAAAAAAGAATAAAAAATAAAACATCTTTACATCAGTTGAAAACATATTCAGAGAGGTGTGGTGGGAAAGAGCGGCACCCATCGATTCATCAGTGCATCAAAATGGATTGGTAGATTGAATTGCTTTTGCTGAAACTTATTCTACAGCTTGCCAATATCAGAGTCTATCTAATCAATTTCTCCTTGTCTCGCAAAGCATTTTTTTATGAAGAAAAAAGAAGTATTTCAAACATTTATGAAATGTATTTTAATCAAGCTTGAAAAGTCAATATCTTCAGAACAAAACATAATGAGAAATAAATATTGTGAAATCTTTTAAAGTGAGATAAAATTTGTGAACTATGTATGTTTTTCAAAAAAGCGTTTCTATGAACATTATAGAATGAACATTGAACATTACTTTTCTGCTCTAAATGTTGAGTTCACTTAAAGAACAAATTATTTGGTATATTTCGAATGATCTCACCTCTTGAACGATCGATTCGTGTTTTGATGAAATCATTGAGTCGTTCGAACCTCTATTACTTCTAAACAACAACTTTATCGTATTTAATCCTTTCAAAATCTTACGATGATTTTCTTGTTGTTTTTTTACTAATTTCATGTTTGAATTTTTCAGTTTCATTTGATAATAACGACTGTCTGCTATCATCGATACTATAACGATCATCTTTATTTCTTTGTAATGCTGATCGACTAGTATTATCTCTAAACTAAAAATTTTCTCTTAAAAGTAATGTATTTTTTCTTAAATTTCAAAAAGTTTTACTTTTTCTACCCCGGATGTTGTTTGTTTAAATGATTCAAAATTTTGTTGAACATTTCGTATATTATCTTCTGTACTCTAAATATCAAAACAGTTTTCTTTTTTTTCAAATGCACAAATTCAATTTTACAGTTAATATAGAATTGAGTTGTCGAATTTTTTCATTATTAACATTTGGTAATTGTCGTTTAGTTGTTAAAATCATTTTAACTCCTTTTTAATCGCGTATTCATTTTATGTACGATATTCTATCGTTCCTAAGATATATTCTTTACAATATTGTATAAATTACTTAAAATAAAAAAATTGAAATCAATAGTTTCGCATTTCTCATACTGCTTATTTTGATGGAAAATTTTAAAAATAAATAAATATAATTTAGTATAGATGTCATTTACTGTTTTAATCTTATTGGTTTTTAAATTGCAAACGATAGCCAAACATTCTGTACTCGAGAGAAAAGAATGCAAAGGAAGAAAGCTGAGAACAAAACGTATGTTTGCTCGTTGTTTGTCAATGAAGGAAGAAGGGCAACATTAATTTCTTTTGATTTCAGAAATATGGATGAAGATCCCCTAACAAATGTAAGAATACATACAATTCATCATGGGCGAATTGATGCAAGACCATTGATTGAATGTTTGGATATTCAATCAACATTCGAAAAACAAAAGAAAAGTAGACTATTTCACCGAAATGAATCGAGTAAAGATTAATTTGCTTCTTTGTTATTCATTAAAAGTTTGTTTTCTTTTTATTTCTTATTAGCACGTAGTATTAATGATCAAATCGATAGTTCACCGGGAAAAGTATGATGAAAAATATAATAGGTTATTTCATTTGAGTGTTTTCTTTTTAAATATTAAGATTGAAGTTGGTCGTTCAACTATTGATATTTGTGAACCAATACCTGAACATTTACATGCTTTAAGAAATGCTTTTAATAAAATTCTTAATGAACGTCTATTATCGGAAAGTAGCTTCAAACTACGGCACTGTGTTTTTAATAAATTACGTCAACTTATTCTTTCGAAACGATCAGGTATATTCTCGAAAACAATTTCAGTCAATTATCTATACTTTTTCATGACTAAAAAGAATAGTATTCGCTAAACTAAAATTATAATCCTTTATTAATCATAAGTTAGAATGATTAAATATGATGTTTTGATAGCTTTTTAGTAATGAAATACATTGACGTTATATGAAAATTCTAATAATGATGCTAATATCACGTAGAAATTCTAAAGCATCATGTTGACTAACGATGAAAGCACTTGAGATGTTCAGTTCTGATTTGATTAATTTCATAGATAATATCTAAAGATAAGACACCATTTTCGAATGTTTAACTATATATGATTTACTGGTAAACCATTATGAAAAGTTTACTGAACTTGTCTCGACAAATACAATCAATAGTCATTGAAGAGAATTCTGAATATTTTAACGAAGAAGAACATGATATTCAGTGTTCAAATCGATTCGATTATTTGGCTCTTCTACAGAAAATAGAGCCACTAGAATAAAATCATTTGCATCCTGTTGTTTGCTTCTTAGAACTATCTAATGAATATTAAGTCTATGTATCTACATACTTGCAGATCGAAGCGTATCAGTTCGATTTTTTTAAAATCTCAAACGGTGGGTGATATTTGAGTAACGTGATCGTAAGTCTTCATTACTAAGCCAAGTGTCCGAAATATATAAGTCTTCATCATACTATTTCAATTTAATCCTTTGAATACTTTATCAGTAAAAATCATCGATAATAGTTACTTAAGATAATCCATTAGTAGGATGCATAGTTTTTCATTTTCTGTATTCATGTCTAGTATATCCCTGCATTGAGTTTGATATTATTAAATGAAAGACAAAATTAAAATGAAAACTATCAAGTACGTCGATTGGAAAAAGATCATTAATTATATTGAAAGTACTTTGGTCAAGTGCATTTCCTCATTCACATATGACGCCATAGAACAAGTAGAACAAGTATGAAGAGAAAAATTTATTGTGGAGAACCGTTTAGAATTTCTTCGTTTTTCCATTGATGAATGTATCTCGTATATTCTTTATTCAACGTAACTTTTCTAATAAGAAGAAGATTCAGTTTGAAATCACTCAGCTTATGGAAATGGATTCTAGCTTAGCCTAGTGGAGATTTAATTTCACAGACCAGCACTCTTCCTTCTAAAAACATATGAATTTCTACTTCTTTAATTTACTTGTATGAGAAACTACTAGAACTTTGACGTGACATTCTCTGCATGCTTCTATTTAAAATATTGATTTCAATAGTTATGTCCTTATTGACATACGCTTGTATTAGATCTATATACTATTTTATTTCTGATATATTAAATATGCTTTCATAGTCGGCACAATCAGTCAAGCTACTATAGCTAGTATTGTTTCTTATTTTTATCCATAAAATATTGTTCGTAGTAAAAATAGCGTAGCAAACTTATAGAAAGTTGTCGTACAGTTATGAATAGCTTCATGTTTATTCCTATTTGTATATTTTTTGCTCTTTTTCTCTTCTGAAAATATACATTGCAAACAATTATTAAATCGAATCGTATATTGCCTTGTAGAGAATTGGCAAACCAATCAATTGATCAAAGAAAACAGTTTTTTTTTCCATTAATTAGTTGAAAGAATTCTGGTAGATAGCGATAATTCGGTTCTTGGTATCACTAATTATTGATAGTTTTTATTTTATTTAGAACTGTAACACTAATGGAAAACGTTCTTTAGAACATCGATATCCTTTTATTGATTTTTATTCTTTGAATCAAAATGACTATTTCAGAGAGCGAGTTGAATTTTAAAAAGATGCAGATCGAAGGTTTTCAAAATCAAGAGTGTAAAATTTTGAGTTATTGAAATCTCACTTTTTATTGATATTTTAAAAAATGATCTATTTTTCCTGAACAAGAAAATACGTAACTGAAGATACAATGTGAGTCTAAAATTATTAGAGTTTTGTTATGTGCTAAAAATGATTAGATACGTATATGCATAGAACAATGAGTAGCATCATCGTCACAATTTGATTTTAATTAGTTTTGCTAATGCTAAGAAATAAGTAGGCATGTTGTATCTAGATTGAGACATCTAATTAATTATTCATCGAATCAATTTTTTGCACTGATCATCTGTTATATTGGTCGAGAAAAATAGAATTTTTTATGTTCTTACCCTTGGTACAATATACATGAAATATCTTCTGAATGATTGAATATTTATTGTTATATCCTATTATTTAACTCAGAAAATTAACATAAGTAAAACTTACGTCATAATTTATCTATCTTACTTGTAATAGATTGTCGAATAAATTTATATGGCTCTATGCTATTTGAATGTTGTCTGGAAAAACCTGGCACTATGGATATTGATGTACAATTTAAACAAGCTCTGCAATATGATACACTTAAAGAATTACTTGAAATAATAACTAGCAGTGGTACGTTATACTCGTAAATAAAATGAAAAGTACATTGTATGCTGAATTGTTTTTGTTTCTGTAGATTTATGTAAAGAAGCTCGTATTAATACGGATCATAAACCATCTTGTATCGATTTAGCCCTCAATGAAGTAAATATACGTGTACGAGTAACATCAGGTTATAATCGTGGAATAAATTTATCAAAATTAATTCGAATTTATACAAGATTTGATTCACGTGTTATTAAATTACTTCGTTTATTTCGTATACTTTCGAAGGTTGATTTCAAAGATTTCTTTTTTAAAGTTCGATCGAAATCTATCTATTTATTTATTCCTTTAGACATGCAATATAGACAAACCTGATTTAGGTACACTTCATCCAGTAGTCTTTCATATAATGGTTATTCATTTTCTGCAACAGCTCGATCCTCCTATTTTACCGTGTCTTCATGAATATGTATGTTTGTTCGATCGCTCCATAACCTTTTTATTTATATTTAATTAAAAAAAAAGGTGTTTGGAATTGATCATGTACCAATAACAATGAATGAAAATCGATATCCAGAATTTTTTCGTGTTTCTAATGAATATTCACGTCAATGGAAATCAAAAAATACGACAGAAATTGAATTGTTGTTTTTACAATTACTTTCATATTACGTTAAAACATTTAACACAAAACAATTTGTTATTTCAATACAAACTCGAATGCCTGTCGTTAAAATAGATAAAAATTGGCATAGTAAAAAACTACTTGTTGAAGGTATATTCAAGGTTTTGTTTTTAATTATTCTGCCTAGCATTGAATAGTATTTTTAATCAGTCAATCTTGTGTTCCGCTTGATTTATTTATTTTTTCTTCACATGATTAATAGGAAAATGATGTATTGAAGGCGTCACATTTACATTCAAAGACGTTTGTTGTGCATGGTTAGGAGTGTTTCATTGAAATGTGAACTGAAAACGTATATAGCTTTAAGAATTAAGATGTAAGCTAAATTATTTTGAAAATATTCATTTTCTTTTATTAGAAAAACAAGCCATTTAAAATGTTATCAGTATTTTACTTGATGTTTTATCTATTTTTATTTTTTAATTGAGAGGTTTTGACGAAAAACGATAAGCATAGATATTATGATTTATTGGAAACTTCTATAAAATTTTACTTGTATCCAATCATTTTCTTATGGATAGATTTCTACGAAAAACTATAGTCTGAATGGTTAGTGATTCTATGATATCATATAATTCTTTACAAAAAAAACTCAATCATGTATCACTTATAACAAAAGAGTTTAATGTAGAAATGTTCAGAGTAGAGTTATTTTATTATTATTTCAGCTATTGAACAGAAAAGTTACTTTTACATTGGTGGTACTCAACTCTATAGGATAGCTTTTTAAAACATACATATAGTTAACCATGAACTGAAAGGTTGTACGACTAAGCATCAAACATCGAGCTTTTAATTTTAATATGCAATGTTCATCTAGATCAACTTGAGCGTCCTGTACTGATACAAAAAACATTAACTAGATTTTTTACTTTCATCATAGATATTTCCTAGTTAAGATCTTTAATTGTTATTAACTGAGTGAACTTTTGTCTGGCTATCTAAAAATGTAAAGATTTCTTTAGTATTTATTTTAAAAATACTATTGTCTTTCTTTCTTAGATCCTAGTGATGTTAAACGAAGTTTATGTCAAACAATGCAAGCTATACGGTCCATAAATTATTTTCGTGATACTTTAAATACTGCCTTGAACTATTTCGGTCGAAAACAAAAGAAAATTAAAAAGGTTCAAGTAACTCAAACTTCAAATGAAAATACTAATAATAATGATGATGATGATTTCATTGAAATTATTGCTGAAGATGAAAATGAAATTCCAATAATTGAACCAACAAATGCATTACATAATTCATATAATCTATTTTATAAACGTTTACCATTAACAATAGTACGTGATGTAAATATTCGGCAAAGCCGCGTACGGGATTATTATAAGAAAACATTTGAAGCAAAATTACCGGAACCAATTATTAAATCAGATTCATTACTTGATCAACAATTTGAAAATTCAACTGAAAATGAAATTGAAGAAGCATTTCAACATGATCTTGAACATGATTTTGAAACCATGGATGCTTATGATGATGAACAAAATATTCTATTAGATAGAACTGTATCAAATAATGATTATGATGAAAGTTTAAACATAGATTTTGATGAACTTAATATTGAGAATGATATGGGTCAAAAACAATCAGCAGTGTTAGTTAAAGCTAGAGTTTTCCAAATGAAACTATACGAAAGTAAATTCATAATGGGCATGTTCGAAAATAAAAGAATTTCAGAATTTTCAAAATTATTTTCTCAGTATAATGTCTTTAACTATAGATACATCTGTCAAAATCGGTATGGGAGCAGTGAAAATCTGGGTTAAATAGTGTACTTCAAGTAACTCCAACTCAGAGCTGGAGTTGGAGTTGGAGTTCGAGTGAGATTTTAAAAAAATCGGAGTGGAGTTGGATATGGCGAAGTTGCCCATCTCTGGTCAAATCGTATCTGTAGTTCCAGTGAGATCACACTTCAACGTTCCTAAAGTTATGATTGAAAATATAATTCAATTTTTAACATTGAGTCTTTTTTTAGAACAGTGACAGTGCATTGAGCGTGCAAAAGGTATTCGTCATTGACGTATTTTCTCTTTCTTTCTGTATTAATACCTATAACTACGTAACTACAACTATTACTTTTCTTGCGTCCTGTTAGGTACTTTTTCTAGTGCATTCTCTTGCTTCTTCCTATACTTGAATGTCATAACTCATACAATTTTCCCCATGTATTATCACTTATGGGTATATTCTCTTTCGTCACATCTAATATAAATAACTTTTGTTTCAATGAAAAGACGCGAAAACAAAAAGTAAAAATCATGATAAAAAACAATTATATTGATCTCATATAAGTATCATCATAGATCAGACGTACCTTTCTTTTAAGCGAATTAAATAGTGTAGTTTACTTAGTATACATTCACATTCAAAACTCATCTTATCTCTCTATGATTCTACAATATAAGAATTCTATTTAAACGATCGAATTTATTATGTTTCTAAATCAAACGAAATACCAGTACATGGTTTAATATTCATCTTTATTGAATCCATCAGATTTATCATTTCATACCGAAACGATAAAAACAATTCTAATTGTATAGAAACAAAATCACAAAAACGAATTTGAAAAATACTTTTAGTTAGATCAAATGTTTACGATGATAAATCTAAATCATATGAATTTAAGTAGATCATATCGCAAATACGAATTTACTTTCTTATTCTTTTTTTTGAGACAATCTACGTTGCCATTTGATTATTTAATTATGGTTTTCTTCTAGTCGGAAGTTATTTGCACCAACAAATGATGAAGAAAAATCGAATGAAACAAATCCATCATCATTAATCATAGCCGATAATGAACAAGGTATAGCAAATAGAAATGAAAATAAATATCCTAATCATAATGGTGATGGGAAAAGATTTAACACTGATGAACTTATGCAGAGTCTCAATAAAAAGTAGAGACGAACTGTAAACAAGGAATACGAACGGCAAGGTAACAATTGCTGTTTAAGAACTAATATACTTCACTGATGCCTATTATTTTTGTTGATGTCCATAAATTTTATTTGACTTATTAAAAATTTTGTTTGGTTTTCTTAAATATAGACAATATAGTAAATAATCAAGTGATAGAAGTCTATGAAAAATTAAAACCATCATTTGAAGACAAGAGTGAAATAATCAATGTTGACACTCCTTCAATTGAATCAAACATGAGTGCAATACAAAATGATGTCAATAAAAATTCTCTTGCTAGTACCAATAATGATGATCCATCAGTATTTACATCACCAATCAAAGATGACCAATTACCATGTATAGATAATCCTTCTTCGGACCTCTTTTATGATTTTCAAGCAGAAAATTTTCATGCAGAACAGGTTCATTTACTTTTTTTTTGTTTTTCTATCAGTCAAGACAAAGTTTCTCTTTGAAGGGTGCTCCATTCGTCTGTACAATATGTAATAATGTAGGTCATTTAAAATCTGAATGTCCAGAATTAATTGTACCAAACATGGTTGATCTACCAGAAATAAGCGAGGAATGGATTCAAATACTTTCATCATTATGTCAATATATAACTGGTAATAGATCTGTCATGTTTATTTATATTTTATAAAAAAATCTGTTTTATTTTTGCCTGTGAGTTTAGAACAATGCAAACCAAGACATAACGATATAGAAAACCGTGAAAGAATCTTAATACAATTGCAAAAACAATTTGAAAAAGATTATCCAGATTGTAGTTTACATGCATTTGGATCATTCTATAATGGATTTGGTTTTCGAAAAAGTGATCTTGATGTTTGCATTGTTTTTAAAGATCAACGAGAAGAACATGTTTGTATTTTAAAACAAAAAATAATTCGATTGACCTTTTCCTTTTGATTTATTAGACTGATGAAGCTCTTCAGATAATGAAAAGAATACTTAAATCAATGAGATCAAGTTCAGATACATTTGAAAGTGTGCAACCCATTTTACATGCTAAAGTACCAATTATTCGTTCAAAACATCGACGGTTACAAATTGAAATTGATATTAGTTTTCATAATATGCTTGTAAGTATTTCTATGATTCGATATTCTATGTTAAAAGCAGTGGCAGCGCTACACGGAGCAAAGATTGTTTGAAGTCTAGCGTCGATCAGACCTTAAATTACTTTTGAATCAGATCTGATCTAATTCGCAAATAGATCCAACAAGTTCGACTTCAATGGTCCGTGACCAAAAGCTCTATTTATGTAGCTAGCGAAGAATATTTCAATTTTAAAGTGATGACATAAGTAATATTCATGAAGAGTTTATTTGCGACTAGAATAAATTTCTGTGGCAAAGAAAACTAGAGATGAAATGTATTGACTAATTTCTACACAGATTTTACTTTTTGGCGTTTTTATGTTACTAGTAGAAAAATTTAGTTACTGTCTATATTTCTTCAAAATCTCAACATTTTTTGTATTGCATTGAATAAATTTTCATTTACTTCAGGCCATTGAAAACACACGTTTATTGAAAGCATATGCCGATATAGATCCACGTGTATCTCAGCTTGGTTATATGATAAAACATTTAGCGAAAGTAAGAAAAAAAAACATAACATCTGATGACATTTCACGCGATACAAAATACAACAGAAAAAAGTATTTCCGTATTTTAGAGCTGTGATATAGGCGATGCAAGTCGTGGTACATTATCGAGTTACGCATATATAATAATGGTTATTCATTTTCTTCAACAAATTAAACCTTCTGTTTTGCCGGTGCTTCAACAAGTTTGTTCTTTCATTTTAGTTCTGACTTTTCAATTTTCAATATCAAAATTTTAGCTTAGTGATAATCAAACAACAAAAGATTCAATGTACAAAAAATGTTCAAAATGGAATGTTTATTTTTATGACAATCTACATGAAATTGTTCGTAGAAAGTACACCACATGTTTTTTTATCTTAGCATTTTAATTTAGAATAATTTATGGAAAAATGAAAACAAATTATCAGTTGGTAAATTATGGATTGAATTTCTCAGGTTTTACACCGAGCAATTCAATTATGATGAACATGTTATAACTATTCGACAATTTGAGCCATTGTTAAAATATGAGAAGGGTTGGTTTCGGCAAACAATTGCTGTTGAAGATCCCTTTGAATTAAATCATAATCTAGCCGGTGGTTTGTCTATTAGAAGTAAAATTTTCATTCATTTGATTTTTATGTTAATCAGTTTTGTCTGAACATAGATTGGACACTTATTCGTCGAGTATTAATTCGTGCACGACAACAGTTTGGTTTACAATCAAAAGATATCGATATTTCTACGCCTGATTTACAATCAGTCGAGGTAGGGTTTTTTTCATGCTAGTTTAATTAGAATTTTAAAGTAATCTATTGCAATCAGCTAACAGTATCGGACCCAAAGAAATTAAATTTTTAATCATGTTAAATTCTATAATGATTTACTATTGAACTCGAGAATAACTGTTAGATAAAACAAAAATACGAATGTATACTATGTAATCTAATACTTCTCAAGATCACGAATAATGTTTAAAAAGATTACGGTGTGCAATCGAATTAGATGTAAATATAGGTATAGAAAACTGATTAGTAGAAGTGTATCGAAGGATTTCCTTTCAAAATAAGTTAAAAGTCGATCCATAATGATTGTAGGATTCCATTTTTTAAAATATGATATGAACTTATATTTTTATACTTAGAAGATAAATGATAATTTAGTGAGGCTTTTTTCTAACAATTAAAAACGAGCTTTCTCAGTTTCATTCTATTCAATTTTACCGTAACACAATGACATTAAGCTTAACGCATTTTATCTTTGCACAAGCCTTTTCAATTCAAAATTCTTCATCTTTTTCTACAAGAATAAACAACTTAGCATCAACTAGAAAACATTTAGATGCTACACAAAGCGATCTACGATTGAGAGACAGTAAGAAGGTTCTGTGTGTTAATATCTCACAAAGCGATTAAAAAATTGAAAATAAGTTCCAGTAATTCTAATGATTAATCACAACGGATGGATGATGTAACTTATTGTCGGTAGCGAGATGATGGAAGAAGAACATTATAGAAATGATTTTCACCAAAAATGGACTCATCAATATATATACATACATATATATGTATACGTATATATGTATAGATTATCGTAATCAAAATCTTCAAATTTCTTTAAATGATGCTGTAGAATCTTAATATCCTGTTTTAGTTTTGTTGCTCTAGATATCAACTATTGTCGTAGCAATGCAACGAGTATATGCAGGGCTACATCAGGAAGGATCATGTGATGAAAGATTTCAAAGATTATGAATAATGACAAAAAGAAATGCTTTAACGTAAATTTAAAGAAACAATCAATAGAAAGAAAAAAAACTAATAACATGAGAAAAGAAAAAACGTTAAATGTCTGGGTGAAAGTATATTGATAACAGTTAGACTTTGATAATGTCATCCGTTGACGATTCAACCCATAAAAATCTCTATCTAGGCTTTTTCTTTCTACGATGGTTATTTTTTATTGCTTTTCTTTGCATAGATATTCTGTAACTATGGGGAGAGAGAATTAATCTTGAGATGTGTAATATCTACACAATATTACAAAAGAATCATTTTAAAAAGCGACACGAATAATTCTGTTTTTTAACTTAAAATAATTAGAGTCGATTGATTTCTTATTCAAGTAATATAAATCTCTAATGTCATATTTTAACTCATTTATTAACAATAAAATTTCATCTTGAACAATTTCAAGATGTAGGTAGCCCTTAGAATTAAAAACTATTTAAAAATATATATTCGGAATACAATTTGATTGTTAGATAAATTATGTCATAAGATATATTTTTATCTCGAGCCAAAAAGATAACAATACTTCAACATGAAAGATTCTACTGACATTTTCCTTCAAAAACAGTTGTTTGACGTATTCATTTATTTTTCTATTAAATAGTCAATTTTGTTTAATATAAATGATTTATGTCTAACAAATGCTCCAAGGCGATGTGCTGAATGTAAAGAACCATATCATATTCGTAAACGCTGCCCAAAATTAATATCATTAATAAGCGAAAAAGAAAAATTAAAAAGAGTTATAATACCAGAACAACAACAGCAAAAGCAACAGCAACACCACCAGCAACAAACATTAATAAACCATCAATATGATTTGTATTCAATTAGTTCTGATAATAATAATAATAATCGATTCCAGACATATCCACAATATTACTATTCGGCAAATGGATATCAATATCCAATTCAAGTAGCATCTAATCAACGTGTTTGGACACAGCCATATTCAAATCACAGACCAATAATTCATTCAAATTTTTCCTATCAATCAAATTATCAACAGCAATCAGCAAATAATTCGAATCGTCCATTCTATTCAAATAGTCAACGAAGAAAATGTTTTATTTGCGGAAGTTCAAATCATTTAAAAGCACAATGTTCTCAGTTTCACTCGAATACTCTTCAACGATAGAATATTTTTCATATTTTGTTTTTCTTCTATTCTGTATAGAAATTTACGATATTTAATTTTGTCCGTGTGTCTGACTTGTTTTTTTTTTGTCTTACCGTTGTATTTATGTTGTTATTATTCGTCAAAATTTTCTTTTTCTTTGTTCTATACGAGAGAACATTTTGAAAATCGTTCGTGTATCAGATGGATCCATTATTATTGATCCCATAAAACAAAATTTTACTTTTTTTTCTTCTCTATCAGATATGATGATGAATACAGCTGTGCATCCACAAACGGACTCCAATGAGCAACCAATAGTGACATCAAATGAACGACACACATTATTACAAAAATTGTATGAACATTTCCTTTTTCTATTTCTATAATATAGACTTTATTTATTTTCCTACATAGAGCTTCAAGATGCCCACAGGAAATATCAACAAGAATCGAAAACGAAGCGTTTGAGAAATCTCAGGGTATCAAGGTATATTATAAATTGAAAAAAACCTGCTTTTTATCTAATTTTAATATTTTATGTTTCAGTCTCAATATTTGAAAAACGTTCACACGTATCTTCAACACTTTCAAGGTAAAAATTTCATTCTTTTAAAAATTCTACATGAATCTTTAGCGAGCTTTCCTAAATAAACTGAATTTCATATGAACTTTTACATTACTAAAACAAACACGAAAAATATAAAGTAGAAAGACTTATCAAATGGATGCCATCTCATCATAGATAAAAGTAAAGTTTAATAATACGAGATAAAATGAGAAAAAAAGAAATCAATTATTTGATTTTCTGTATAGCACTTTCAAAACAGCCTGCAGATTTTCTATCAAATCTTTAATATGAATATCTTTATTCGGATTCTTGTCATTGACGTTTAATTAATTCATTTAGCATTTTCGCATCCCCTCAAAGAAATTCGAAATTCTCTGTAACAAAATAGTTTGCAAGTTTCATAAATGTTTTAATAAATCTTCATATTTCTGTTGACTAATATTTCCAGAGTCAAAATTCGTTTCTCAGACTTTTAACGATGTTTCTGATAACATTTTTATTACTTTGACTTGAAATAGTTTTCCATGATACAGGATACGAAATCAGTAGTGTACTGGAAGTTGGATGGAACTGGCCCTCCTTCATCAGCGCATCTTATATATTCCATTAGCTATTCTGATTTCGTTGACATACTAAAAGTGCTCAATTACTAGTGAGAGAGAAATATGGTCTGTTCCCGGTACTACTTACGTATATAATCTTTTATAGAATAGTTTTATAAGTGGAAGATGTATTAAATATCCTATGAGACAGAGCTATCATATCATGCCATCCTATTTGGAGTTCTGCTCACGATGTTTTTATGTTTGACTTTCCAAAAACAAAAGAAAATGAATTTTCGATAAAAGTTATCATTATTTTACACTTTTTTTTTTATGAAATTTATCATCAGAAGCACAAAGTAATTTAAAATATCGAACTTTCTTGAAATGTTGAAGTAGATGTTAATCATAAATCGACGGGAATCTGAAATCTATATCATTAATTTTACTGGAGAAATTCTTAAAATAACCAAATCTTCTTTCTCAACTATAGATGCCATGATAAATTTTGAGGAGTCTATTAATTTAGTCCACATCTTGTACTTTAATTTACATATATCGGAACACATATTCATCTAAGTTAAAAGTTTCAGCCAACTTTTTTCATTTTGGAGAAACGCAGAGTTTTGAATGAGATCCTACAGAATGCGGATGCAAGAGGCTGACTAATGTATTAATTTGATATGAAGAACTACTTTTTGAAAGTTTCAGCTTCTATACAAAACCGTGTCAGTCAGCAGCAGCAGCAGCAGCAGCAGCAACTGCAACAATTGCAACAACTGCAACAACAACAACAACAACAACAACAACAACAACAGCAGCAGCAGCAGCAGCAGCAACAACAACAGCAACAACANGAATCGCTTGCAACAAGCAAGTATTTTATCTGTATCTGCAACATCTGCAGCTTCAGCAACATTACCAACAACAATAAAAGCAGCAGCAGCAGCAGCTATCGGAACAGCAGCAACGACAACGACAACAACGACAACAGCAACAACAGCAACAACAACAACAACAACAACAACAACAACAACAACAACAACAACAACAACAACAACAACAACAACAACAACAGCAACAACAACAACACTCGATAAATAGCAATATAAGATTTATAAATGCATCAACAAATATTCCTCCACAAACAGCTGTAATTAATGGTAACCATGTACAACATCCAATAAATCAAATGCCTAACCAAACACCTCGCTTTCCTGTTGTTCAGCAATCATCCCGAATGAACAATCCCCAACCAACTGTTCTTAATCCCACAGCACGAGCGCGTGAATTACCAAAGTTCAATCCAAGTAAGGCTTTAAATTGTTATGGTTTTTTTCTAATTTTTTCTTTCTCTAAAGCATCTATAAATACTTTATCATATTCACAATCTCCAGTATCAACATCGACGATAACAACAACGGTTGATTTATCTCAAGATTGTTCCTCTCAACAAAACAATGGTACCAATCAATACGATAACTCATTAATTCAACCACGATATCCTGTTGCAGCCTCAGTCAATGCACCACGACAACGAATATCGATACCAAATAGTAAAAATAAATTAGCCTATTTCTATTCTTATTTTTTTGCTACTTTATTTTCTACCAGACAATTTTCAACAACAATCATCATCAAATAAACCAAATGATATATCAAATCAAGTTTTTGTTGGAGGTTCACCATCGAGACCAATGTTACTATCATCATCATCACCAACAACAACGTTGACAACAGTCAATACAAATAGTTCATCAACCGGTGACCAATGTAAGTTATTACATTACGACCAAAATGAATTGATTTTTCGTAAGAAAATATTTCTTACAGTATTACAACGCATACTATTATCGAATACGGATGGAAATCGTCCAGCAATATCAACGAATATGGTAAGTTATTTTGAGTAAGCATTCATTGATTTTATAGTTTTCGAACGAATTACTCTGTACTTGAACGACATTTTGATATGATATGATTCCACGACTTTTAGTTTTCTCTTATGAATATAGACTTTTATTTAAATCAACAAAATTTGCACAAATGAGTGACACATCAGAATTCGACTCGTAGCTGAGTAACGAGAAACTGATCTCTGGCAATTTATACATATGAAAAACGATGATATCGAATGAAATGATGGTTTCGTTTTTTTCTAAGTTTTTTGAACTCTTGTAGTTTCATCTGAAATGATGTTGAATAGCTGAAAAACTTGTTTCTCTTAATTGAATTGAGTTTTGAACTCGAATATAATGATTTTAAAATCGGGTCAAAATAAGTAGAATCTAACTATTATCGAATAGGATTCCAAATAATTGACTCCTATCAGACTCAACTGAGGCACACACACACACACACACACACACATCCAACATTATTTTGTAGGACACAATCTAACACGATTTTTGAAATATATCAAACACAAATTTTCAATTCGATCGATTTCCAGAGATCATAAACGACGAAATTCTTGATAGATAATGTAAGGTCATATTTCACTAATATCTTTGTAGTAAATGAACTACTGGTTTCATTTGTCGATGATGAAGCCAAAGAATATCTCATAATAGATAGAATAAAACAATATTCCTTCGATTAGCAACAACGGTTGCATTGTGCTTTCTACTTTCTGCTTATCATTTCTTTAAATTTCTATCAAGCGAGAGACTCTTTATGTACTTGCTTCGTTACAATTTAAAACTAATGGCTATCTATCAGAAGATAAGCTGAATGCCACAAAATAATTTATTTGTGAATTTGTAGATATTTTTTCCATATATTCTTATAAAGAATTCTGAACGAAAATTTATCAATGAAAAATCAAAGACAACGTATTCTTAGAATCACAGATACGTATTAGATAAAGATTCAAAGTTATTTATTGACTCGCATGTCAAATGTAGCTTATAGTTCGTTAATTTTAATTAGTTATCAAGAATAACTTTCCACAAAAATGAATATGATTTTTTCTTATTTATAAATCCGCTGGAAATATTTCTATTTATAGTTCTTTGATTATATTTTTCGATTTAGCTGCCCACAGCTCGAATAGCTAGTACAATGATTAGTAATTCAAATAACAGTACAACTTCTCTTCGGCCATCATTATCAACTCAAAAATTATCACCTTCACCGGCGCTTGCGATTATGCCAACACCGATTCAAGCTTCTACTGTTCCAATTCAATCGTATAATTTCATTTTCTTTTTCTTTTGTTATCTTACACTATAGTTTTATCTCATTCAAAAGATCCAATAATATGACTATTCAACGAAGTCCTTTAAACAACAATAATGGCTCACTTTCAAGTAATTCTCAAACAGTTTCAACGAATAGTTCAACAGCAATGTATACTAACTATTCATCACCAACGAATCGTGCACTGCCTTCAACAGGTATCTATGTTTATAAATATTAGTTTCCTATGCACTTTGCATCAATAGTATTTTATCCAGAAAAGAAAAAAAACTATAAGAAACTTACGTCAGTTTTTTTATCCGAAGTTTAATTTATTTTATTTTCGATGATCAAAATATAGTAAAGATACATTTATTAAAATGCATTTAACATTCATGAAAGCTTCTTATGCAACAAACATTTCATATGAGCTCTTCGGTATTTTCTAAGGATTATATAAATATCAATTTAGAATTTCCAAGCAGTACTTTCACCTAGAATTATGAGAATGATTGCTGCTTATTTGCTGTTGACTAACCCAGGTCGAACAATCATATTGTGAGATCTGATAAGATCTTGTATCTGATCTTATATGATCTTGTACGATCATTCGAAAATCATACAAACAATCGTAGTTCCTGAGATCTTAGATCAAGTCGCACAATCAGATTCTTGAAAGATCTTACACATTAATAAGATCTTTCAAGAATCTGATTGTGCGACTTGATCTAAAATCTCAGGAACTACGATTGTTTGTCAGATTCTTGTAAGATTTCGCCCATGTTCCAACATCTTGTATGCGCTTCATAAGATCTTGTGTCAGATTTTTCGACCTGGGAACGAGCAAACATTCCTTATGGTTGGATCTTGATCCGGCTGACATCTGGCTATAAATCGACATTTGTGAAACTAAGAAAAATTTAGAAAAGTTTATACTTATGATATACCAGAAGAGCGATGGTTATTTCACTAGATTTTTATTGAGATGGATACTTACAATAAGAATCTTCAAAGAAAAACAAATGTATTAATCTCGAGTTATTCAATCTTGCATTGACTAGTGAAGAAAAATCATATTTTTCTAGCTGAAAATACAATTGGATTGAGACTGTACATTTTCATATTTTCAAACAAATAGATTTCACTATTGCAAGAAATCAGAGTAAATTAGTCATAAAATATCTACCACGAGGTTATCAACCGAAATTCTTTTAGATATTTATCAGTCTAAAAAAATTACCTATTTGTAACAATTATAGTAAACTGAATGGCACTCAAATATGTTTTCGATGAAACAAACATTAATGTACTATAAATGCATCTTAAAAATGAAATATAACAAACACAGCATATAGAAAATGAATTCGAAAGGCCGAAACATAGAAAGAAAACCAATAAAAATGTGTAAGATTTGCATTAAAAATGTAATCACGAATGTACATTAGTCTAGCAAATATGAAATTAGCACTAAAACATGAATTCTTCATGATGCTTTCTATTGTTGATAAAAATATCTTCTAGAATTATGAGAGTATCATATGAATGAATAGCCTTTGTTTGAACTCATATTGACCTTGTAATAACAGATATTAGTATGACTAGAAAAATTTGAAATTTACTTGTTTGTATGTACGTTTAGAGTTGCATTCGAATAGGTTTCTCTATAATTTTGACTCGGTTTTATATGCAATATTCTGAAAGCATTCTATTTCTATTCATTACTCTAATCAGCAAAGAAACCAATCGTCTAGCATTTTCTATACGTTACATAAGCCATAAATCGAACAACTGTACTAACATAATCGATTTTCTTATTCTAGCAAATTTTCTTATATATATGCTGAATGTACAGCTTGCTTAAAGACACAAAATCCTAGAAAGAATCTCTAGTGTACCCAGTGGTGTAGCCAGGGGGATAGTCATTGGGCAATTTCCCAATAACTCAGAAGTTATTGCCCAGTGATTTTTTGAACTGCTACTAATTGCCCAATACTGAAAAATCCTGATACACATATATGTTCGAAGATACATGGTGTTATTGTAAAACAATGTCTTTTATCATGATCTAATTAATAGTGACGATTTTTTCTTCACTATACATCGGTTTTACAATGGCAATACATCGAAAACAAATTGTAGTCCAATTGGTTTTAAATTGCCCATTAGCACCCACCCCACAAAATCAGTTAGCTGGGAAACAGCCCATGACTCAAAAATGTCTGACTACGCCACTGAGTGTACCTATAAAAATAACGAGCTTCTATCATAAATTTTAATCTAAATAAAATATAATTCAATGATTATTATTATTATTATTATTATTATATAGGTAGTGGGATTATTGCCAGTCCTGATAATGAAATAGCACAATTAATAAAATATCTTAAAGAGAATGTCAATCGACTACAACTATTGTGCCAAAAATTTACCAACGACGGTAAAAGAAAAGTTGTGAAAATCTGATACTAAAATATATATGGATTTATTTTCATAGGTAATACTGAAAAACTTCGTCAAGTTCAATTAGCTTATCAACAAATAATGCAGTTTATTAATAACCCAACATATGAAACTTTACCAAATGCCAAGCGTCTGCGTGATGTACTAGAGCAAATAGCTGTAACTATTTCTTTATTTTTTCTTACCTTTCGGAAAGAATCATGAAGAAGAAAATATTTAGAATCGCTTGCAACAAGCAAGTATTTTATCTGTATCTGCAACATCTGCAGCTTCAGCAACATTACCAACAACAATAAAAGCAGCAGCAGCAGCAGCTACCGGAACAGCAGCAACGACAACGACAACAACGACAACAGCAACAACAGCAACAACAACAACAACAACAACAACAACAACAACAGTAGTAGCGCCAGCAGCAACAAATTCTCAAACGAATGTATTTAATCATTGTTTACAAGCAACTAAAGAATTTCTTTCACGTGATCAAAAAGATCGAATTAATCTAACAAAACGATATCTTGAACCATTAAGTGATGTTATTAATGGTGTACCACATAAGTAAATCATTTCATTTTTATTTTTATTAGAATAATTTTATTGTTTAAATAGAATGATGCGTCTTGATGGTGATAAACCTTCAACAATAAAAATTCGTTCACGTAATCAATTATCATTATTATCGAATCTAAATGATGAAATAAATCAATTGCCAGATGATATTTACTCAATTGAACGTGTATCACTGGCGTGTACAAGAAAGTTTTCAAATGATGATGATGATGATGATGAATACTTGAGTAAAAATGGTATTGTTCTACGATGTAAATTACTGGAAAAGCCAAATCCTCTTATTCCAACACTTCGTTTACATGTAACAACATTTTATCCAGAGCAACCACCAGAAGTTTTATCATTAACTAAAACTATGCCACCAAAATTAGAATTTGCAGGTAAAAGAAGCATCTTTTATAAATTCAAAAAGTAAAAATAAGAGAAAGCTCATCCATTTCAGTATCAAAATCTATGACATAGAATTTAAATGTCATAGGAGCGATGATAGACATTTATGTTTGTCAAGAATAATTTTTTGAGATTGTTACTTCTGATCCATGATATCAGAAATAAGTGGTTTTCGGTAATGGATAATAACAAATAGATGTTACTGTTTTTCTTTGCATGACAACATGAAGAAGTCAATAAATCGGAAAGAATCAGAAAGCAAAACATTTTTAATTTCAAATATAATTAGTTGTATAATATTACAATGTTCTAGAGATTTATCTTTGAAATTTAACAATCATTTATAACCAGAAATCTACACAGCAAAAAAACGAATTCGTTTTTCGAGACTATGAAAAATAAGGTGTTCAAGTACGAACTAAAGACTATAGTTAGATCGTTTATGTTTTAAAACGATATGACTTATAAATTATATCAACTAAACCCTTCCCCATATTAGAAGCCCCTTCCAGAAGTATTAACATGCACGATATGTTAGAAGCTCCCTCATTTTAAAAGTTTTCCGAAAAATTTGTTTTTTAATTTTCATCATAAAATTTGTAACAGTTAAGATCTTAATGTAATGATGTGCTTTATTTTCTTATTTATTACCCAAAAATCTTACCTTCTCCTCGAAAGTCGTTGGTGCGGCTCTTAAAAATCCTGAAAATATCAAAGGACTTTGGAAATTTTTTCATCTAATAATAATAATAATGATTTAACAGGTGCATATCACATTATAGGTTAGATTTTATAAAAAGAAACAGAAATTAGTTCTTTTAAATTTTTTGTTTTATTCTATTTTATATCGAGATTCTATTGTACTACTTTTTATTACTGAGATATACCCTGAGATAGTTACAGCAATCAATAACTTTACATAAAACACAATAAGAACCGAAGCCTTGTACACACTAGACGAAAATTACTTGAATTACGCAACGTGAGTAGAGCACTAACATTTACGTCATCTCGAGAATATAATTTAAGTCTTAATGCATCTATCACGTTACTTAACTCATGTTGAATTAATTCCTTCTCGTTGTGTATTGTGTGCCACACCAAAGAGAAGAAAGAGAGACATTTATAATGAATAGAAATTAATTATAAGCACCTCTATAAAATATGAAGGACGATAAACAAATGTGCTTCGTTTTTATTTATGTTCATATTATTGTTTCCATGTAAAATTTTCTATTTTTGCTAAAACTTCGATCTCTATTTCAGTAATGAAGCTATATACAAAAATATCGGCATAAAATGAAATAAAAAGAAATTTTTGCTTCTTGTATTAAATTTGAACAATAATGTTGCCGACTGCTATAAATTAAAATCATTATTATTATTATTTTTAAAGTTATTTTCCCTACACACACAGCTTTTCATCTAAAACTATTGAAAAATTTTAGGACATAATAGAAGCCCCCTTCAAAAACTTTGGATGATGGACCATTTAGAAGCTCCTGGGGGCTTCTATTATGGGGGGAGGGGCTTAGAACATCTTTCAAGAGAGATTATCTGAAAAGATATTAATCATTAAGTCAATTCGTAAAAAATAAAACAAGTATTGAATAATTGTTTTAAATTTGATACAACTATTCATATTTCAACAGTAAGACCAACTTAAATTTTTCTATTGTAAAGTCAAGATCATTTGGAAAGAAAGTAGAAAAATAAAAATCAACTATAGTTGATCCATTATACTTCTACTTATATGATTGATATGACTTGACATGATGAATACACTGTAAATAACATATTTACTAATTTGTTTTCACTACTATTCAAATGTATTTTAAGTGAAAATTTTTGGTATTGTGGAAACTTGATACGAAGAAAGAGAAATCTCTTAGCTAATTGTACTTAGATATTTTTACCAAAGAGTCATTTGATGAATTATTTTGTATAATATGATGTATATTTTAGATGGACATCCGTTTTTTGACCAAATATCATCGATATTTGTTTCTCGTCTTTTTAAATTAAACCCAAAACATACCGTAACCGATATTCTTAATATTTGGGTAAATTGTTTTTGTTCTTATAAATATGTTTTTATCAAACTTTATTATTCGTTTCGTTTATTAGCGTCAATCTGTTCAAGCAGCTATGTGAAAAATGAACGATAAGTACATTCTGTTAGTTTGTACTATTAAGTCTATACTTCATTGCTATATCTCAAATAAAGGCTCAATAGGAAAACAAAAACAAAACGTTTAAAGCCTAACTGTGAGAATACTTTGTCGCTTTTATCACTAGTTGTCTACCCTTGATATTTTTTTTTGTTCCTTCGTTAATTTTTTCTTTTCTTTCATTATGATCCTTTCTATTCAATATGTACGTGTGTGTGTGTGTGTGTGTGACAGTGATGATTGATTGTCCATGGTAGACAAAAACGTTGTGATCATCCTTCCTGGTTTTTTGTCTTCTACGCCTGTCTTTCAAAAAAAACAGCACGCAAACGGTTCGGATGTTTGATACAAACATATACTTATACATATACATATGTATATGAAAATCCACCCATTCAGTTTTTCTTATTATTTATCTACATTATTCTCGAAAGAATCTCTACACGTTAACCATCATATAAATACACATAATTATCATTGATTTATATTTTATTTCTTTCTCATTTTGTTGTGCTAATGTTTTATTAAAATATATTCACGTGTGTGACAAACGAGAAAGATTGAAATAAACATGAAAAAAGAAAGCATTTAAAACTAATTATCACGAATTTTAATAAAATGAAGATTTACCTAAATAATATTAGAAATTTTACGATAAATTTATTGATTCAAATTGATCGATAGGTAGACTGTCGGCTGATGACTGATTAGTAGCCGATGATGAAATCGGATCAAGTTTTGTTTTAAGTATATCAATACGATCCATAATAGCTGCACATTTTTCACGTAAATAAATACGAGATTGTTCAGTACCATTGGCGAACATCAATTCTTCGAGAAGAAAATCAACACAGATCCGATAAAGATGAAGTGCTAATGAATAATTTTCCTGTTCGTCACATGTTTGAGCTAAATTAATTTTATTTCTCGAAAACAAAAATCAGAAGTTAAAACTTGTTTTTTAATTACCTTCGATAAGTATTTCATGTGCAGCTGTTATACGAATAAATTCATCATCATTTTGTTCTTCAATGTGATTCTGAGATTCATTCTCTTTAGAATCCTTATTCAGAACAAGTTTGTCTTCACTATTGACAATAGATGATTTTATTGAATTTATTCCGTTTGATATATTTGCTTTTAAATCTTTTGAATTGTCCTGTTCATTATTATTCATTCTGAAATATTGTAAAATAGTATAGAAATCATACATATCCAAGCTAAAACAATAAACCGAAACAAATATATGTTTTTTTTCCTTACAGAAACAATTTTCTCATGTTCGACTACTGTTGTCTGTAGTAATCGACTCATTTATAGAAGGTCGTTATCCAAGAAAATAAGCAGCGGTTGTGTTCTTTTCCTTTTCCTTTTCCTTTTTATCTTTTCTTTCGTCTGCAGATATGAATCAATTTCTATACCAAGTAACATCAGCGAAAACAATTGGATACTGAGAAAATATTCATGATCGAATTGTATGGAATTTCAAGTATTTAGATGAAATGAAGAGTTTGAAAAGATCTTCAATAAGAATCTACGTTACTACTAGTAAAGAAAATCACAGGATTGACTTCTGTCTTTGTTTTTATAACAACAACAACAACAACTGATATAGTAAACTGTAAACATCGTTTGTAATGGCTGTTCCTGATATCAATTCAACTTATTTGAAAATTCGAAACACGAGCAACTTCTGAAATAATTATTAACATTAGATTTTTCTTTTCCGTTTGTTTATGTGATGAAATATGTATTCGAATCGATAAACAAGCCGAATGTCGATGGATCGAATCCCATCAAAGGAACAACTGATGATTTGAATGTACAGATATATCATATAAATGATCGATTTAATTAATCATCTTATGCTACCTTGTCTGATGTTCCTACTTTGCTTATTACAACGAATTCTTTCGTATACACAGAAAATATACCTTTCTTGCAAAAAATAAAATGAAACAAAATCACCAAAACTCTTTTTTCAATAGATGTTGTGGGTATGTCAGTGAATGAGACTGAAGGCAAACGGCCTCTACTCAAACGAAACATTTGATATCAGTTGTGATTATTTTATTAGATACATAAAGAACTGAGTGTCATAAATGTATTTAATTATTTCCTTGTTTATGGATCATCAATTAAACATTTTCCAATCATCATTTTATACACACAGAATACTTTTTTAATATAAACCTGGTAGAAAAACGAAGCCTGTTGTGGCATACCAATATGTTTATTTCTATTCTAACGACAGAATTATGGTTCATAAATAGAATGCTACAGATTTCTTTGTCTAGTCTCATCGACTAGATCGACTTTTGAGAACTAATAGGATATGTAAATTACTTGATTATGAAACTGTAATGAAAGCCTTCAATACACGAATATACTAAGATCATGGAATAGTTAGATATTTTCATTGAACTTTAACATATAAAAATAGCTTAAAAGTTTTTGGTTAGAATCAACAATAATTTATTAGCAGAAAAATGAAATGAATTCAGATGTATTTACTATACTATCAATGATCAAATATAAGAATATATTCTAATCGTTTTGATAATGACGAATAAGAATATTTTTTTAGCAAATTTTTTATATTTTTTTTTGACTTCTGTCTACATATCAATGAAGTTCTATCTTTTCAAGATAAATAACAAGCAAATATGTCAATGTCTAATGAATAGATTCTACTTAAAACACTAGTTTGATATCAGATAACTCGCATTTAAAAAAAGAGTCAATAAAATTTTCTTTATCATCGTTCATATATTGTCGATAATATTTTTTTAGCAAATTTTATTTCTATCTATTAGTTTTGATTAATATTTATTTATATTAAAACGAATTAGTTGAATCAGCATTTTTTAATTTTGCCGAACAGTTCACATGTAAGTGGACTATCTAGTAGTCCTTTCGTTGTAAAAATAATTTCTCGTCCTTTTCTTACACTTAAATCATCTCCGTATTGATTAATAATTGTGTCAAGAAATTCTTTTATTTTATCTTGATGACCCGATGCTTCTAATTGTTTAGCTTGTCGATAAATTTCTCCAACTCCATATTTTGCTGCATCATTCATATATTGCTCATCAACATTCCATATATTTGGAATAGTCTCTAAAACTTTTCTCCATTTATCTAATAATTTCTTATCAGTATTCTCACGAAATGCATCTTCTTTTGAACAACCAGGTTTTGTTTGCATGTCTTTTAATTGACATACGTATTTTCTTGACATATGCGTAAGATAAGATTGAGTATGTTTAATAAAATGCTTCAATTGACGAATACCAAAATATTCCGGTTTTATATAAATTCGTCCGCCACTATATTTACTATCATTGCGAATTGCTGGAAGTTCACCAAAAAGTATATGACCGAAGCCACTAGGCATACCTGATGATGAAAACGAATTCCGAATATTTTTCTTTGGCCTCTTTTATACTTACAAGCTCCAGGAATATCTATTCCATAGGCAGGGTAATTACGTGCACGATCGTCTTTCGAACCACGCTCTTGATGATAATGTGAACTTTCATCACCACGAACATAAATAAATGTATCAGATTCAATAAGATCAGATTGATTATTTGATTTTTTTGATTTTTTGAATAATCCATTCAGAGCTTGTGCGCCCATATGTTTAAGACGTTTAAAATAACCTACATGTTTTGATCCATCACCTGATTTTTGTTCACTTTTTGATTTCATAAATCGATTAAATATTTGATTTGTTGAATCAAAAATAACAAACATGCCTAAACAAACGATAAAGAACTGTTTGAACTAAATATTCAACTTAATCTATCGCATTTACCTTTTCCAAATGAAATAGGTTTATTATTTAATGATGCTTGTTGAATTAAAAAATGGATTAAGTTACACATATTGTCTGGATTGATCAGTTTATACGAATCAGTTTCGGTTGCTAATTGTCGAAAGAAATTTCGGCCATTATTCGCTTTTTTCGCACCGACATTAAGCTTAGATGAAACACAACATTCATCTGTTGCTGTACGTTTTATACGACTTCGATAATGACGATGAAACGAAGCATAACATTCAACTATTATTGGTAATAATATGAATAAATATATTGTTTTTTGTAGCTGCATTTTTTATTAGATAAACAAATATGGATATAATAAATTGTCTGGAAATGTAAGAAGATGACTACATCGATATTTATAAAGAATGAAATATGCGATAAGAAATGCAAGAAATATAATAACCTAAGGTGTGAAATAGAATCCCTTAGATATGCATCATGTTTTTACTAGGCTAATGATAAACAGTTGTTTTAATTAGGCTTATTTTTTGTAAACATATATGTACGTATGTTGTAAATGGTTAATGTTACTTTGCTTCTTTTCGATTTTACTTGAATGTTGCATGTGTTACAGAATCGATATATATATTTCTTCAAATTAGGTATTTATTTGTATAAAAGAATATCATTTTGCGCAGGTAAACGAAAATATATTTATTCAGTAGAAGAGAATATCTTAATCTCATGGGCAAACTGTGATCAGAAGCCGATAAATAGTAGATGATTGATAAAAGAGAATATTTGAGAGAATCAAAAACAACGGTGTTTTTATTGATTTATAATAATTACAGTGCGAAATATTATGTCTCAATTAATATTAATATACTTGAAATTTTCGAAAAATTCTATGCGCAATTTACGATCTACTGACAGCTGATCGGTGAATCAGACAAAATACGAAAAAGAATTTTGATATGACAGAAACATACAGAAGTTTATTTTCTATAAAACTCAGATGAAATATTTGATTAAACTGCTACAAACGGTATTATTAAATACGAATTCTCTTATTATGTTCACATGCTGGTATTCAATTTTCTCAAATATTTTTCGTTGCCAATTGTTTGTATTTCAATCCGGAAGCGTATAATAATGTGTATATTTATGTGTATTTATTGTTGATTATCACTTCGGAAAATAATTAAGCAATATTGTAATTAGGATGTATCAAATACTAAGCTTCGACAATATTCACAGATTAAGTGTCCGATGAATGCATCTTCTCGTTGTAATACGTATAAAGGAAGATTCAATGATATTATGAGTGTACCATTATGAATTATGAATCTGCTTTTTTTTCCTCAAATCCATATAGATAAATATTATTCAAATGAAATCTTGCTCAGAGAAGCATGACAATTATTCAATGCTCTATACCATTTATAGCAATTTTGCAACTCACATTGATTAAACGAAATTTGACACGAATGTTGTGAAGTATTGATCAAAACATATGGCCATCTTTCGAATTATAAATCGTAGTCTATTCTTTATTAACACTATTTATTAGTTGATATTACATTTTTCACTAGAAACGTAGCCAATATTAATAGATTTTACTTCATACAAAAGCAGTAGCATAAATACTCATGAATATGATTGTGTTGCCTGATACAGTACGAGAAAATGTGTACTGGAAAGAGTTCATAGATGCATACTAATTGACTCTGAATACGTTTCGATAACAGTTGTTAATGCTAATAAGGAGTCTATAGTATTTTGGCGAATTTGGAGACCAATACTGTCTCTATTTTAATTAATAACAATTTACATGGTTCATTTTCTACCAAACTTTTTTTATAACATCCGATATGATTTTTTCAAATTTTCTCTCACATAATAACGTTATTTCTATCTAGACAAGAAATGAATCATAAATTAGAGTAGCCGTCTATTTTATTCATTGTAGAATTTCATATTATATAACACCATCTGATGTCAAAAGAGAGATTTCTTTCGAGTGTCTTGTTCCAAATATAGAAGTGACTATAATACAAATTTTGCTTCGACATCTTGAATAAACATATGATTCTGTGAATACCATTGAATTCGTATTTCTAATTATTATTTAGAGAATTCCCGATTAATTCATTTGCATGAGTATGTTCTTCAATTTGTTACGAAATTCGACTCATTGAGTAACATACGTATACGTCTCGAGAATTCCGTGATTTTCTCATTTCAAACAGAATTTTAGATCGAAATTATGATAACAAAAAAAAGCAACTATCGAAATAATTGGCAGGATAAAATGATCGAGAAAAGATGTTGTTGTCATACAATTGAAAAAATTTTGATTAAAATAGATTTTATTGAAAAATTTGAATAAAAATCAGATTAATATCAGAATTGAGAATTTGTCTTATGTAAATATAAATGTCGTTTACGCTTGCTTTCAATCATCTTCATCTTCCGCTGGCTGCGGCACAAGTTCAAGTGGATGTTCATGTCCTTTCTTTTCGCACGATGTGCACAGATCATAATTACCACATGTTGAACAACGATACCTTTGACCAATAAGAGGAGCCATATTGCAACCATCACATGACACGCATGCCCATTGATATTCTTCTGCCGATGGAGCAGCTAATTTTTTCCCTTCTCCCCATGTTTTCAAGGCTTCAACTCCTTTTCCTGAAATATCTGCACGACCACGGCGTGACAAAAACTTTCCATCTGATGACATAATAAATAAAGCTGGTATACCTTTATATAAAAGAAAAATAATTATTGTATAAAATCAATAAGTTAAAGACACACTCACCAGAAAATTGAAAATATGCCTTGAGAGGAGCACCCGCTTGTAATGGTACAGCAGGCCAAGGCATTTCTGCGCGATATTGGTCAAATGATTCTTCATTTCGATCGCATGATACGAAAACTATCTGTAAACCATGAGCACTTGCTTGTGCTCGTTTATAGAGTTCTGCTAATTGTGGTGTAAAAGTACGGCAAGGTGGACACCAATGAGCAGAAAAGTAAAATCCAACACTTTTTATATCATTTTGCCATAGTGTTTTTGTTTCGATTTTTTCTTCACTATCAGGACTAAGTAAATGAGGAACTGATTTGAATATTTCTTCTAATGAATATTGTTTTTTAGGTATGAGATATTCAATAAGAGGATGTTCATGCTTATAATTTGTTAAACATGTTTCGCATAAATCTACATCGCACTCATTATTTGTGCAACTATGACGAGAGCCAATTAAAGGACTCATGTAACAATTAGTACAATGCAAATCTTGCCAAATATGTTCACCTTCACGCGCTTCACGTGACCAAAACAATCGCTTTCCTTGTGCCCATTGATGTAAAACGTTTTTGGGTGCAGCACGTACTTCATCTACACCATCCGATGTAATAGTTTCACATGTCGAAGAAAGAACAACTAACGATGGAATACCTTCGATGTTGAATTGTTCATTCAATTTTTCTGCACGATCTCGATCTGAATATATAAAATTTTATTGATTCAATCGAATCGATACACAGATATTTCCTATTGATATTAATATTTAACATCGCCTGTTTTCTTACAGATAACTTTATTTATATTTCAATGTGATTTTTTTCTGGCAGAAGAAATGATAAAAACAGAAACTGATCTATTGAACTTCTAAGTTTCTCTTGTTGTAATAAATAAATATTGTTTATTTTCTTGCCATTCGCTCGTTAGTTCTGTCAATCATATAAATATAACAAAAAAAGTATTCCACTTACCAGAGTACGGTAAAGCTTTCCATGGCATCTCCTGGAAATATTCATTGAAAGAATCTTGATCGCTATCCGATGAAATAAAAACGATCTCTAGTTTGTCTTTGACTTCACTATCAAGTTCTTTGTAAAGTTCAGCTAGTTTTGGTGTAAAATTTCGGCACGGTGGACACCAATGAGCTCTAAAATAAAAATCGAGATATTCATATTAATTTCGATTGATGTAATCATAAACTAACGAGAAATAAAGTCCAACGATTTTGCCATTAAGTTGATTCGTTGATACTTCAGCTGATTTGCTGTCAGATTCGCTATGTTGAAGAATTTCTTCACCTAACAGGTTATTCAAAGTCATTATTACTGTTCCACAAGGTATTTATGAAACAACAACACCCGTATATTCCTCCATTTTATAGAAAAAATAAAAAGGGGGTGCCGTTAATTACCACACACTTGTGCAACGCGTAAACACGACAGGACTCGGGAGGTTGTTATCTTTTGTATTTTCTTTGAAGTGATTCATGCGTTTTTTCTTTTTCTTTTCTGTGCGATGTGTCAAGACTATTTTCAGTAGCTACATATTCTTTTGTAAAAATAGTGTCACCATAGAAGACAAAATAATTTCTAGACAACCACGTCAGCGGAATTTAACGATTAACAACATGAATACATGATTATTCATAAGTGTATCTCACGCATGAATCAACTAGAAGCTCACTCTTAATAATAATGATTGCAGAATAATATTAATGTAAAACAATAAACACAAGCAACGCAGATAAAAAGAAGCAACCGTACGCAGGTTAAAGGGCGTCACATCACTATTTTCATAAATCGAAAACATTTAAACGCGTTTGTTTCAATCTATTCTAATGTTTATCATGATAAGCTCTAATAATAACAATCTCATTTTGTTGCTCCGACATTAATCTTGATTTAAAAAAAATAGGAATCATCATATGTATTTCGATTATTTTAATGTAATCAAACATGATTGATTCAAATTTTTCAAATATTATTGAAACATTTTCTTTCTTTACAATTATTAATACATGATTGTCTTACTAAAATTTAAATGAAAATTCGATTCAAAATCAAGACATCTGTCGCAAATGGAACAGATAATATTTTTTGTATTGCATATGTTGTTTGTTGAATAAGTTTACCTGGGACATGAGGTACTTATGAAAATATATATTTATTTTTATCTGTAATATGAATCATTTCGTGAAGAATTATATTAAGAGAATTTCATGAAGTTTGAAAAAAAATTCAGAACGCTATAGATATGAAAATTGTCCTGAACTATTGACAGCATACAGTAAATTTGTGATTGATATCATTGAATGTTTAAGTGTCCATAATTGATGATATACTTCGTTGTAGCATGCATCATCGGGTGTCTATACTGTTCCCTTCTTCTGAAATTTATTTAACGTTTACACAATTTTTTCATTTCATAAACATGAGTACATCATTTTCTATAGAAAAAAATTGTCGAGAGTAAAGCGATACTATTTTTGTTTTATCGAAATTAGATCTTAAATGAATAAAAAGAATTTTTTTCATTTTATTTGTATATGTGACATGTTTCTTTTTTATTTATTTATTTTTATCCCTGCTCTCAATATATTTACATAAATATTTCGTCATCGAACTACGACGCTTCTTCTTCTATTCGAAGCAGTCAAATGAAGAGAACAAGAAAATAACTTTGTTGTTTTGTTGTTTTCACAAACTCACTCATTCTTTCTGTCATATTTTCAGTGGTATTCTATCTTGCTTGTTCAGAATTGAAAACATTCAATGGAAAAACTACTTTGTGTCACCAATTATTTTTTTACTAATTCTAATTTTTCATAATTCAGATATGTCGTGTGATGATTGTTATGAATCAGTAGAGAACCGATATTACATTTAAACCGAAGTCACGCATATTCTTGCTATTGAAACTGTTCGATATTTCTGATATTGTGTTACAAAATTTATACGAAATTAAGCTTCATTCGTGAGAACATGTCACACTGTTAGAAAGGTTAGAAGAGACAAATGACATTTAAAATTACTTTTATCCATTTACTCATTTTCATGAAAAAGTACTTAAATGCAACGAAATGAACAGGATCAAATAAAACTGGAAACAAATACAAGTAGTTGATAAAAAAAAAATTAAACCTTCGGTACACAATAGAATCAGTTAAACTGTGAGTTTTAGTAAGCAATCAAACTTCGAGTCAAAATGCATGGTTACAAGCTCAGTTGAAGCAGTAATCACATGGCTTTTTTATTAAGATTCACTGAGAAAATGCAGAAAAAATATTCAAGAAAACTACGAACCCGTACTTAGATACTACTGACCATATGAGTCTAGGTGTTTTATTTTGATGTTTAGGTGAATTCTATTTGTTTCGAGACTTGTTAAGAGTCTTTGCGTTGCGCTCAGGTATTTTACTATATATTTGTATGAAATAACCTAACATTTATTGTAATTTTTGAAAAATCATTTGTTACATTGAACATTCCCAATCACGGCGGATTTTATTCGTACCATACCCAAGCAGACAAATTTTTTCAAAAACGCGTTTAAACACTCAATCGGGAACCGCGATTGCGTTTCATTAATGAGCGTTAATGACCCACAATCGCGGTTCCCGATTGAGTGTNCGGAAAGTGAGAATTCTGCGTAAAAACCGCGTTTCTTGCGTTTCATTAATGAGCGTTAATGACCCACAATCGCGGTTCCCGATTGAGTGTTTAAACGCGTTTTTGAAAAAGTTTGTCTGCTTGGGTAGTAGCAATTATAAACTACTAATTAGATAATATAGCAGTACGATTAAACGTTAGAATATCATAAAAATTCTAATGTTAGAATATATTAAAAATACCGATTCAACAGACAAATGTTTATCTAATTCAATGTAAATTGACTTTTGTTTAATCTGCTTCGATTATAAACTGATGAATGTGATTGGTTATATTTACTGAATCTTGTTATGATATTCAATAGTAAAAACGTTTTCACGAGCTAAGCTAGAATAGAGAAGAGTAAGTTTTTCAAAATGAACATTTTCAAATTGACTCCATCTAAATTGTTCGTATTTATGTGTCATTACTGATTGCTGATAGATGTTTATTCTGAAGCAAATATTTTTCTAACAAATTTTGAAGTCATCAATCATCAAATAGGTCATGTGAGATTGTGCAAAGATTTAACTAATCAATTAGCAGACTTTTGAAGTTTTTTCGTGACATTGATAGGAATCATTTTTCGTCGTATTAATTGAGTTCTTTCAAGAATGGCTAACAAATCTGATTCTTAATTTTTGAAGTAAAAATCAAATTCAAAATGTCATAATAAACTGATTAAAAGTCTGTAATTTTGAGTACATATTCTTATATTGTAATGATTGCCAATAGCCTCAATACAACTTAAACTTCCATGATATACTCTATGGATCAGTAATGACGTCGATGAACAACATTTTGATTTGTATTTCTGATACGATGATTAATGAAAACTAATCCATTTATAAAGATTTCTGTTAGCTTTTTCATAGTGTTCATATAGATTCAACACACGTTTTAATAGAGACTATTAGTTCGAACGGTTACGTCATGAGCTGACCAGCTGACACCTTAGTAATATGCCTAAGAGAAAAGAACTATGGCCATATGGTGGTAGAAAATGAATTATCTCATCAGCATTTTGTTTTAAAATACGTAATATGTAAGATTTTAAACACATAGATATCATCGTGAACCACACAGAACAGCATTTCTAAATTAGTAATTTATTAGTTGACCAATATCTTAATGGTAGCATGACCTTTTCATTTTGAAAAGACTTATCACTTCTATATATTGTTGATTTTATGCATAGAAAAGTTCAATATTTGTATTTATGTTTTCTACATGTATTTGACCTATTTGAAGTAAACACAAGAACATACCTAAACCTGTCCATCCATTATCTCATTGTTTATAGAAAAAGTATAGACAGTAAATTATAAGTAAAAATACTTTTTTTTTGATCTACTTCATTTCGTAATATCCAGGCTACTCTTTCCATATTTATGCCCTTAATATATATATATATATATGCCCCTAGTCAGAATACAATAGACACGTACTACCAACTTCTATAGTAGTGCCAGACAGTCTAATTACTGTTAATAGAATTATAGCATTCTCATGGGAAGAACAACATTGAATGAACCCATCTCTTGTCTATATCAGCTCAGCATTCATCTATATACGTATACATCAGCACTATAATTAACACAAATTAAACTGATAATGGTCTTCATGACTACCCTCAATGAAAATAAATGGCAATGTTTTCTTCATACTGGATGATGCTTGTGATAAGACTTTTGTATCTATTTTTTCTTCGTATATAAATTGTGCAATGATGTTGATCTATCTATTTACTTTTTAGTACTCCAGATGGGGAAAAAATGTATGCCGTATCTAGGAAGCATTATGAGATCAAATATATATTAACTAAAAAGTATGCATATTTAATATACTCTTAGTGTTTTGTAAATTTGAATAGACCAAGAAAAAAAAACAATTTATAAAACTCATTTTGAAACTCTTAAGATCTACTACACCATAGATATATAAAACATGATTTTGTATCCAAACAAAACGAGTATATGCGTGTATATGTAGTATATATATATAAAATCCTGGTGCCAACTCTACTACACACAAATTTCAATAAGCATAAAAAAATCAATAGAAAAGAAAATGAAGTAATGATAAATGATAACTCTATGTTATAGAAGTAAAAAGGAAAAAAAGACAAAAAAAAGTCTGTTTTTGTTTCATAGATAGCACACAATGACTATTAAGAGAGATAATGAAGTACGTTAAAGATTGCCTCTGTTCTTCAATATGAAGACATTAAATTGAACAGTATTGAATTATTAAACATCATCTGATCTTGATGCACTTGCAAGTAAAAATGTTAATGCATTAACAATAAGTATTAATACTGTTGCACTAATTTCAAATACAGTAGCCCGTCCAATAGTTGTATGATAATGTGTATTAGCATCAGCACGTAATTCACGTTCAGCAGCAATATATTGATCATATGGAACTTTCGATTCTATGAAAAAAATAAAAATAAAACAAGCTAGATTTAAACAATTATTGATATTTCATTTGCTGTACCAAAATGTTTAGCGTAATTACGAAGACTATGCAATTCGAAACCTATTAAACCTTTTGAATCATTTGATATGCTACGCAATGGAAATGTATAATCTTCATACGTATCACGTCGAAGATCTACATTTAAAATAAGAAAATGAAAGTATCTATGAATTGTAGAACAACTCACATGCACCAACAAGAATGAGTGTTGTAATCATAAAAAGTAATGTTAAAAGAAAGCAGGCGAAAGGTCCAAAACTAAGTACTAATACAGCACTATCTATAAATAAATAAATTGCTGAAATAATATTTGTAAAAGAACTTCTAAAATACAAACCGTTTTGTGGTGATGTTATTGTTTTTAAATACAGTAAAAGTAAGCCAAGAATAAGAAAAATAGTAGCAAAGATTGTTAACCATTGTAAGCCTTTTGCCGATGGTAAATATCGGCATGAACAACCTTCAGGTAAATTTGCTGGTTCAGTTACAGGACAATCACGACGCCTGTGATAACATAAATCATATTTATCTGGTGAATATCTCATATAATGATTGGGTCGACATAATTGAACATTAGGTCGAGTACCGAGTGAAACACCTTGCTTCGATATTGTTATATTTGAATATTCACATCGTTGCCAAAGACCATAACTAACTGGTGCCATTATTGGTTCAACATCTCGTTTAGTTACTTTCCAACGAGGTGAACACCTTATTTATTGATAAAAAGTTTAGTTGAACAGAAGAAAAAATAAACTCACATGGCCAATAGATGAAGAACTAATGCACCAATGCCCAAGAAAAGAGCTAATGTTACAATTACAACACCACGAATCTGCATAGTTAATCTTTAGAAATAGAATAAAGCTTATTTTTGAATCAGTCAATGTTTAGATCTAAATACAAATTTGATTTCAATTAGTCTATGATTTTACCTACTTTACAATCAAGTATAAGTCAATAATTGAAGAATCTAAAAATTAGAAAATAGTTAAATTCAGTTGACATCGAATATGTGATCATATGGCTTCGCTATATGTTCACTACATAAATCGATCAAGATGTGACCTGGAAGTACGTATTCAATGTTTCACATCTCATTTAACTCTACTTATATTTCTTTCTTTCTTTCAGCTATACGTGTACATATACAAAGTCCATATTCTGCTTTCATCCCTCAAGCGACACTAAGAATAACACCGATGCATATGAATCAAAATTTCTTGTAGCTGTCCTTGTTTCTATCGGTAATTATTGTTCCATTACTGTCTTTTTTTCTATTCTTTTATCGAATATATATATATAGATAGATAGATAGATGGATGATCTCTCAACACTGCGGTACTGCCGAACAAACGACTGATAAAAGAAAAATAGAGACAAAAAGAAATCTATATATTACTCGAGCTCTTTTGTCATATTCATATTCGCTCTATTGATGATAATCAATATGAACATGAAGAAATAGAAAGAGGAGACGATGTGAGTTCGTCATCAATGAATTGTTAACTTTATACTCTCGATCATGTCTTCTTTTTCTATGTCCGATCGAGTTCACGAGCAACAATATAATGAAATAGGAAAAAGAGAAATAATAGATGGAGACGCGAACAAACGGCCACAGTACAAAACATAACGAGCACAGATACATTGTTATATAGGTTCACATACAGACATATACACACGACGACATACATATGGACACCGATAGACGGTGAGAGAACAAGAAAATTATACGAGAAAAAAAGAAACAAGAGAAGTAGTAGGATGATGGATGGACGAATGCTTAAAAAAAGACCATATACATGAGAAAGAAAAGAGAATTATTGTTCTCTGACACCACACTTTACTGTAACCGCAATTGCTAGTGGTTGGCTATCTTTTCTTCTAAAGACATAAATCAAAGTATCTCATCAACTAGAAAGAAAGAAAAGTCAAATAAGCGTTAAATACATATTCCTGTACTGAATATAACAAACAAGCAATAACAGAAGAAAAGATAGCTGGGAGTATACAACGAATAAGCTTGTATTGGCATAATAGTAACAAATAAAAAACGTTAAGAAAAAACATATTGTAAGAAAAAACAAGCGTCATAACAGTGAAATCAATATTAATAAATTGCATACCACATACGATGAAAGATAAGTTTCGAGTATATTAAATAAATATCAATTAACTCGTGCTAAAGCTAGAATAATACTTAATATATATGCCATAAATGTTACTAGAATAGCAGCAATTTCCACACCGACTGACCAATAAACACGTACATCAAAACGTTCTTTATGTATTGTTTTAAATATTGAAACAGCTTGTCGGCGTAAGTCAGGATCTAAAAATTTGAATTTCAGATATTTGTCTTTCTACTCATCTATTAAAAGAAAATTTTGAGATGAATACTTTTATGAATTTTAAAAAAAGCATCAAGTCGATATAAATTAAATGTTTCTGGTGCCATAGGCAACGAATGAAAAATATTTCTTGGTAGTTTAATATCGTAATCTTCGTATTCATTACGTCTTAAATAAGCACCGAGAAGTATCATTGTGATAACCATCAGTATTAATGCGAGACTAATAAGTACCATAGGTGCAAACGTCAAGAGAAGTGTCGCACTTTCTATTCAAAATTTTAAAAAAAAGTTATTTTATGTATGATATAAAGTATCTTTAAAATAAAACAAGCAAAAACAAACCATTCTGTGGTGAAGCAATTAAATTAAGATAAAAAATTAGTATAGCTAAGAACAGAAGTATGGCAGCTAGAATGCAACACCATTGTTGAACTTGTGTGACTGGTAAATACTTGCATTTACAATCTGGATGAACACCAATGATTGATGAACACTGATGGCGACTTGAATAACATGTTTTACTTATTTCTTCACTATTCATATTATAACGCAAATAAGTATTTGGACGACAAACAAAATTTTCTATATTTGGTTGAGAGGATACGTCTGGAATGACAAATGAGGTATTTGAATATTGACATCGTGTCCATAAACTATAATAATGAATCTGATCATTAGGGCCTCGAGGTTCACGAGGAATTGCTACTGTCCATTGTTTACTGAATCTGAAAGGTTGATTTATTAGTCAGTTGAAAACGAAAACAGCATAAATAGCTTACAGTGCCAATAGATGCAAGACAAGACCAATTATTGCGAACAAGAGTGCAAAAGTAAGAATAATTACACCTTTAATCCGCATTTTGTTGAGAAATTAACTAAAAACAAGTCTTTCATTAATAGATTTTCTTAAAATTTTAAAATCAATTCATATTATTGTACATTGTGTGTAAATAGTAATCATTAAAGTAGAGTGATGAAATATAATTCCCCTAATTTCATCTTATTTTATCAACTTGGAATAAATATGTATATCCAATATATTAATTGCTTATGTTTATATCTTAGTAAAAGCAACTGATAAAAGCGACAAAATCATTCTACCTTCATTCCTGTGTCATTGACTTCTGGGATGATAAATCAAGTTTGATGGCTCTACTTTTTTTCCTATCCAACGATCGACAGATAGAATCAATCATCATCATTTTAAAAAATATGCGAGGAAATATGTAATCAATTTTCGCCTACACACATTCTTTTCATTGCATTGCCATATCATAGTCGCTTAACATGAATCATAACCTTGATCGAACCGGATATCACGACTAGCAAATGATTCTCATTATTTTAAAAAATATCTATAATAAACTAAAGCTGATTGTCACAATTATGAAAACTAAAAAGGACAATATAAGTGTATTGTTCAATATATGATATTATATATAAAGATCTCTATAGATGTATTATAATCAATAAGAATAGCAAAAACAAAATACAGTTATAAAACAGTATCGTTGCTTTTTCAGTTAGACATCTGCATGCCAATTATTTATCTATTTGTATGTATTTCGCGTACTATGAAAACCAGAAAAATGCAAATATAATAATCTATGAATTTAGAATAGATCCGATAATTTCTCACTTGAAATAAGCATGAAATGATGAGTATAGATAAGAAAATAATAAAAACACTATCATTTCAACGTACCTTATATTTTAGCTTCACTACTAGGATCAATCTAATATATTCACAACGCACAATTGTCTCTTGTACTCACAATGATCATTGACATCAACTAATAAACTCTACACCTGTCTTTACTTTACTTTCTACGCGTGAGCGATTTTGTGTCCTTTTTTCATGTTGTCTGTTTAGATTTGTACGCTAGTTAATTGATGATACGAATCATAATGAGCTCTATCAATCCCGCATGGTTGTTTTGTTTTATTTGTCGTCATATGGGTGACTTAGCATAGGGCTAAAATGCGAATCTTGAGTGCTTATTTCATTTAGTATGCAATGGATTTCTTTTGATTAATAAAGCTTTTCCATAAATAATGAAATAAAATATGCTTTTAAAGAAAAAATATGTTGCCTAAAAATATCAAATGTATTAGGAAATTTCAATGAAACAGTATTTAGTCAAGATAAAACCACATAGATCATGATAGTACAACTATATTCACCAGCGAAATACTAACGAAAAAGAAAAGAAATAAGGTAATATATAATGATTAGACTAATTTTAATGATGGTTTACAATATTTCTTCAGGCACTTCTCGTATACAGTCTTCGAAAAAAGTCAAATCTATATGATCTTTTTCAATTATTTCATGAATTAGCATTATATTTAATGCTAATTTTATTGTTAACCTCAAGTCTTTTGAGGTAAGATGAAATATAAACTGTTACATTTGTAACTGATAAATGACTTGTAGCAGATGATCAAAGATTGACATGAATCTATAATTGTTTTATTGATGATAGAACAGATGCTCCACGTATTGGAATATTATCATCAATTCTATTGGATTGCTCGAGAAATTGTTGATGTCTCTTTGGTATTATATGACTTCATTGCCATCCAATAATCATATCGAGCTAAAAGTAATTTGAATCAGCAAGAGAAAATAAATGTGAAAAATTGGCCTCACGAGTGTTTTTATCATTTTACAATCTTCGGTTTCATGGTCTTACTAAGATTATGTCTCGCGTCATGTCAGTAAACACTTATACTTACAATGTTAATTAAAATGAAAAATATAAACGATAAATACTCTTGTTTTTACCGGTCGTACAGAAAGAATCATATATAATATTGATCAACTGATTTGTCACTCGTGATAATAAAGAGCAATTCTAGTAAAATACCACGAAGCTAAAAACAAATGTGTTGAATATGTACATCGACGGAATGATTAATAGACTTGAATATGCCTTTTTGCAATCTCTGTGTTCATTTTTTTATCTATACTATCGTTTAGCTTCCTGTCTTTTTTTATCGACCTTTTAGTTTTACATCTCTTTGATATACTACCCATGTCGATGCATTCTCATTGCCAGGTTTTCCATGACGAAAAGAAAACGATGAACCAAGTTGTATTATCGCTATCAGACAAGTTGTGAGCTTTATTTTTATAATATCTAATAATTATTATTTATTACTTCGCTCTTCCTATTATGGAACGTGTGTTCAGGCATTACAACTCGATTAATACTCTAAGTAATAAAAAAAATAAACTTCCATTGCCATTTAAACATATAATGCGTTCAGAGAATATTCCAGGGAACTCGATTAAGTGCTAGGGAACCAGACCTAGCACATATAGGAGTTATAGGAGATATATTTTTTTTCTTTTTTATCTCTTAATTTTATTTAATTATATCTCAACTAAAATAAAATTTTCTGGACAAATATTACTGATATCAATATTTATTTTTTGAGTCTTGCTCGTTGTTTATCAATCTCCTATATCTCCTATCAGGGGTGTAAGTCAGGTCTCAGAGTAGGAGGGGGAGGGGCGTAACTCTAATTTTTCTGTTTTCATGACCTAAAAAAATTAACTTTTGGAAGCAGACGGAGGGGGGGGGGAGCGTAAACCACGTTTTTGCTTTTAATTTTCG